GAAAGCCTGGAGACAACAAACTCGAGGGAGTTGTTCTACAAGCAATAAATGATTTAAAGCATAAGCCAAAAAAAAAAAAAAGACACCAGGTTTATATCAAGAAAGCAACGGCATGCTTTTCTGTTGATCTAGGGATTCTTACATTGAAGTAGATACACTCAATTCTGCAGGGCATGGGAACCAAAATACATTACACTGTATATTCATGTGTTCTCTCAAGAATGGCTCCTATGCCCCATACACTAATAATGGTGTTCTCCTCAAAATGTGTTGGTAATTTTCATGCTCCAGGCAAGCCAAAACTTGGTATAAGATGTTTCTACCTTGACTTACCACATAGGATACATTTAATAAAATATATCTGGTATTGAACTGTATGAATTACCACAGATGTTTAAAAAGAAATAGAAGACCTTCCCAGATATTTGGGGGCAATTTTTCTCACTTTCACAAATTTACTGTTGCAAAATATACAGTAAAACTGAACTGGGTCAGAGGAAAGCCCTTGGAAAAGTGATACATCTAGCTTTTCAAAGTAAATTATCCTTGCTTGCAAGAAGAGAGAACTGTATACAAGTGGAAACTGATTAATGTGCACCCTGGATGTGTAGAACCATAGCTCTTGTCTTTCCAAGTCAAAAGGAAAAATTCCATGCCGGCTAGGGATTATGGGGGTGATGCTCAACACAACTGAAGAGTGAGAGAAATCAAAGGGGAAGAAGTACTGGGTTCCCATTAGATGGAGGGAACAAACATTGGCTTTCCCTGGTGCAAAAACTGGAGACGGCAATGTTAGAAGTAGGAATATAGACAAAGAACTAAAATATTGGATGTGAAAGTAAAAAAGGGGCATTTTTCTTTAAGTATCTGAAAGAGGAATGTGTCACAGCAACAACATACTATCTCTACCCTAAACACAAAGTCAGCACAAAGAGCACAACAGGAGGTTGCTAAACATTACTACTGGCTTGAGGTCAAGTGTTCAACAGTGGAAATGAGAATTTTCTGAGTTGATTCTGATCTCAAAATGTTGCCCAGTATTCTTCAGCCAAGTATAATTTGTTTAAAAACAAAAGACTGCCCTGGTAAATGCTCCTAAGATAGTTGATAATATGATATCACCATTGAGCCATGATGTTCTATTGTAAACAACAAAATAAAACAAAACCAAAAAGGCATCCTGGTCCAGGCTATTGAACTTCTGCGCATACACACAATATTGTTTTGACTCGTTCTCACCTCCTAGGACCCCCAAACACTAAAAGATAGCCATTTGTTCGCTCTTGAGGGAAAAAAACTGGGCAGTTACTAAACACAAGAAGGATTGCTTTACTCACCTATCTTCACCTGTTGCCACTCTCTACATACTTTCTATTGCAAGCATAAGGGTTCAAAACTGTTGTTTTTGAACCTTTTTCAATATAATTATTATATTTTCCTTTGTTTCATCATGGAATTCAAGACTATGCAGTTTTCCCAAGCAGTTGCCCAACCAAACATCAATGGGATCTGAAGGTACTTAAGTTCAGCAAGGTTCCAGTATCATAGGCCTTTGGACAATGGGTAGCCAATGCATGGCCCTTCAAATGCTGATAGACTGCAACTTCTATCATCCCTCTTCAATGATTGTGCTATCTAGAGGTGTTGGGAGTTGGTCATTGTAGTTTATCAAAAGAACATGACAGAAAAGCACTTTAGAAACACTGCAGTCATGTTCACAAATTCTGCTGCAACCATTAGAAAACTATTTCAAGAAAGGAGAGCTGATAACCTTTCAATTCTAACCAACATATTTCACCAGTCAAGAGAAATGCTTCATGTAACTAGTGCTGCAAGGCAACCACATTTCTGCAAAACCTGTCACTGCTGTTAAGTCTATGAAGGAGCTGCAGACAGACAGAAAGGTGACATTCTCTCAAACAAAACATGAAGGCAGAAACTAAGTGAAACTTTAGACAATGTAGAGGTTCCTTTTCCTCATCTTTTCTAAAATGTCTAAAAGAGAACTTATGACGTAGGATCAGGGTAGAACCTATGATGTAGGAACGGGGTTGGGAGAGACAGATAAGGCCTATCCACCTTTTCAGTTTCCACAAGATTTCTTCAGATATTTCAGTGGAAACATGAGTCACTGACTTCTCCATTGGCCAGCTATCATGGCAATATCTACGCTGACAAAAAACAAAGTCACATTCAAAAATTCTGGTGTATTAACACTATTCAACCTGTGTTATCAGTCACTACAACATATCACAGAATGGTGAGATGTTCAACACAGAAGCAAACCCTTGGAAGACACAATATTAACAGCCACAAATGTAGACACACCACCTGTTATTGCCTAGCTTTGAAAATGTCTTTGTTTTATTTTGAATTAGACAGTACACTGTCTTTAGCTCAATGCACAATTTGTTATACCTCAGAGATTCTAGGATAATACCTGTCTCATGGTGACACATCTACCTGAAAGGATTCTCAAGATTCAGTTTTAGGTTACTGAAAAAAACAATGTTTGCTTCAAAGAGAAAGAAAGAGGCTAGGAGAAGTCCAGCACAGGAAAACAGAAAAAATATGAATATCCATTCATAAAGAACTCAGCAGAATCATGTTTGAAAATAGCCACTTGCCTGTAAGAAAAAGAATTACATCCACCTCACTAGTGAGGGAGACTGCAAGAAAGCTGGTTACGTCTTTCTTTTAGGTTGCTGATATATAAATACATACATAAATAAAGAGACTAAATAGCATTTTTGTGGACGGGTTAATAATTTTGGCACATATGTCTATAACAGAACAGACTTTGTAAAAAAAAACTGCATTGCTGACCATAGGCAAATGGTCAGTAGAATGACGTGAACTTGAAAAACAAAAACCATCTGTTGTATTATATTCATGATCAAACAATCTGCAAAGATCTTCCATGCTAACAGTGCTGAAAATTCATTTTCAAAAAGCAACCAGGTAGACATTGTGGCCCATTGTGTACTACAAAACAACTGGTTATTAGCAATAGATGCAAAAGACCCCAAAAGCAATATTGCTTGCCGGAAGACTCGTTTTTTTGACATGAGAAATGACATGAAAATCTTCTCTAAAACAAGAACAATATTCAAGCTGAGATGAATGTATGAGCTAAGATGAATATTGTGGTGTATACCCTAACACTAGTAATTTATTCCTAGATTTCTTTCCAACATCTACCTTAAATTGGCATGTCCCAGAAAGAGCATACAATTCTGCAAAGGATACCATGGCTCACATATTCCTGGACATTCATGCAAAAATAAAATAAATCCATGCAGCTGGAGGCCCAGAAATGTGATTGTTTTATATCAATGGCTCTTGTTCAAGTTGTCATCAATCACTTATTCATCTTCTGAAATACTACATGTATACACACAAGACATCTTCCTAGCTGAAGATCTACTCTTACAATAGAACAAAGTACTAGCACTCATGATTCTCTACATACTGTATTATAAAATATTTCATGTATATACAAGAGGTAACCTTTGCTGAGGCAGCACACCCTACTGCTTACAAATCCCACCTCTTAAGAGCACCTCCACACACCTCCCAAAATGCTCAATAATACCAATATTCAAAGTTCAATATTAAACACAGGAATGAAGAATACTGAACCAAACTATATGATCTGAACAATGCATGCTGAATGAAAAATAGGATTTTTCTACCTATAAAATTCTTTGGCATATCATTAAAAATATTGGGTTCAGGAAAGACTTACACTAACCATTGCAAACACATTGGGAACTGTTTTTTATGGGTACAAGGTTGAACCTTATGGGCCCTTCAAGATAAGTCACTCATCCCCTTTTTTTCTCTCCAAATGGTTATCTCTCATTGTTCTGCTGCATCAATGTGATCCTCCCGCTAAACAAATACAATTTTTCTGTCTCCTGTGAAAAACAAAACAAAACTTTTGGTAGTACATTATGTGACTAAAACCTACCCACAGTCTCCAAGCCAGGAGCACCTCGCCCTTCTTGCTGAAAGAAGTGCCAGGGCCCATATTTACAAAAACATAATTAATTCTGAAACGCCCTCAGTAGTCCATTATTGTAACCTGCTTTGTCAACACTAGTCCCCCAATCCATATAATTTCAGGAATATCTAAGGGCACAAAAAAGCTATAATAGGAACATGGGCCCCAGAGCTGCCTCAGAAACGGACTGAACCTATATCCCTGGGTTCCAAAGGTGTAAGGACCTGGGGATCAGGAGGTTAAAGGCATGTGCAAATGGGCTGGAGGATGTCAGAGTTCTTTATCCTCAAGGAGAGAAATAAGGTACAAAGCACTTGGGATGACAGAAGGGAGGGGTAAGATCTATGTTTTTCCTTAAGCAGAGTGACAGGCCCCAGAGCTGGGATCTGGGAAAGAGAACTCCCAGGTGTCATAGAAGACAAGTGGGGCAGAGAAGTAGGGCCTAGATTTGGCAGGGGAAAAACAGTCAGATGCGATTTCGTCACTAAGCTTTCAAAGGGGAGAAACGCAGTTGGAAGCGGAATGTGCTTCCCAATTCAGGCAATAGGCTTCCCGACTTATTGTGAAGGAGAACAATCCAAGGGGGGAGGGAGGGGGTTGAGACCCACAAATTGCTGCAATAACGGTGGACATCATTCTTCTTCCCACAAGCAAGAGGCTATTTCCAAGCCTGATTTTGCTGACTTCTTTATGAATGGGCATTCATAATTGCTTTTTCTGTTTTCCTATGGCGGATTTCTCTCTCCCAGGCCCTTTCTGACCTATCCCTTTTTTCCCAGTAACCTGATATTCTTTTCTGGCAGATGTGTCACTGCGAGACAGACTCTCTCCTGGAATTTCCAATTTAAGAAAACAACAACAACAATAGTAATAGCAACGTTGCCCCTCCGTTCTTCCAAACAGAGACCTTTCCTCCCATTTCTCCCACCCATCCTGCAAAATATTCTTCAGACCTCCTCCCCAATCCCCTTTTATAGGAGCGCTGGGGTCTCACCTGTAAGTCTGGGCTGCTGCCTGGATACTGTGTTCCCTTGCGGCTCCAGCTCCAGGGTATGGGAGGTGGGGAGTACACCCCCAACTACCACCACCACCACCTCCACCTTCTTCCAATCAAAGGAGAGGGTTCACAGGGAACTGTCGCGGGCTTCCTTGGATGAGGAAGGCCTCTGGGTCGGAGGAGGAGGCACTGGGCATGGACAGCCAATTCAGCCGCTCTACAGCTGGGGAAGAAAGCCTCTGTAGAAGGGAAGACGTGCAGGGGAGGAGGGCTAAAGGGGAAGCGATGGGGGCATGGCTGCAGCAAAAGGGGAGAAAGGGGAGAAGCTGATCTCTGCTGGCCCAAGGTCTTCCTCTTTTGTAGGGGAGGGGCTGGGAGAGATCTGCAGCCAAGGGATCTCTGGGCCTTATTTCGGGGAGGGTGGGAACCCCAAATCAGGGCAAATGCAGGACAAGGGAGGCCTTACAGATGAGGGGAAAGCTATGGGGGTGTCTGGGGAAATGCTGCAGCCTGCTCTAGATGGGAAGGGGCTGCCTAAAGGTATTTATTCTTAAGGGTTTAAAGATATAAGGGCGAATGGGTGGGGTTGTAGGGAAGGCCCGCAAGGCAGTCCTGACGGGGAAGTGGGGCGGGGAGGAGGATGGGAAGGGGGCTTCGGGTGGGTGGGGAGAGAGGACAGGGCGAGCACGGCCTTTCAGGAGCGGCTGCCAGGCCCGGGGGCGCTCCAGGGGGACGTGGGGGGCCCTCTCCGCGGTGGGGTGCCGTGGGGGTGGGGGGCCTGACTCTACCCGGCCCCCCCTCCCCTCTCTCTCGCCACCGCCTCCGCCTCCTCCCGCCTCCTCACTCACTCCAGTTGTCCCCAAATCCAAGATGGCGTCCAAGGCAGGAGCCAGACCGGAACCAAGGCAGAAGGAAGCCACGGAGCATGCGCGGAGGGAAGGTGGGGGCGCGGAGGGAATAGGCGCATGCGCATTTATCAGAGGGAGTGAGCCTGCCGAAAGGCGCATGCGCCGGGGACTGAACAGGCGCTGGAGACTCTTCTCCCGAAGCCGATGAACAACCGCATACGTAGAACGGGCGGTGGGTTGTACGCATGCGCTATACTGAAGGAATATGTGGATTGTAGAATGGACAGGGAGAAGAGTGTGTGCGCTACGGAGAGACAGGGAGGTTTTCCTGAATGAAAGTGCGCATGCGTACGAAAAAGAAGGGCGGGCGTTGAGGCAGGCGGGGATTGGACTGTTTTAGTCCTGGTGGGCGGGGCTTCCTTTTTTTTTTTTTTGCGGGGCGGGAAGGAGAGCGAGATTGAAAGGTGGCTACTAGGCCTAGATTGGAGGAGGAGCTTTAGGAGGCGGAGCTCGGCTCTCTGATTGGTCGGTGAGGAAGCGAGCTGTTCAATGAGAGGGAGTCAGATTGGGACGCCGCGTGCCCCAGAGCACGTTCTGATTGGGACGCCGGGTTAGAGGGCGGAGCGTGATTGGTAGGTTCCTGTTGTTAGGGGCGGAGTTTCGTGTCGGCTCAACTGTTACTGGGGCAAGATTCGTGCGGGCGGGGCCAGAGCAGGGCGACAGCTGTTCAGCGAGGGGACAGGCAGGCAGGGCGCGCGGGCGACCGTTAAACCGTCGCTGCAGGGAGGGGGCGGGGCTTGGAGGGAGAAAGGGGCGGGGCTAAGACTCCCCTCTCTCCTCGCCTCAGGCCTAGCCTTTCCCTCACCTCACCTGGAAAGGAGCACAGCGTTCACAGGGTGCTCTTCCTCAACACCTCAAAAGTCAAAATAGAGGGGACGTAGTTTTAAAAAGGGAATGTTCAGAGATGTTCCCAATGCCTATATGYCATGATTTACTGCCATATTGGCCTGTTTTTGCAGTAGGCCTATGTTACAGAAAATGCTGATAGTTTGAGGAATCAGTGCTCCAGAGAAGAAGTTACTATCCAAAGATAACACAAAAACAGGTCGCCTTCCATGAGTCAAAGAGTTGAGGAGAAAGGGATGTGAACCCTAGGCCTCATCTACACCAGGCATGAGCAAACTTGGGCCTTCCCTCCAGGGGACTTTAACTCCCACAATTCCTAAGAGCCTACCGCAGTATTTCTCAACCTTAATACGGTTCCTCATGTTGTGGTGACCCCCAACTATACAATTATTTTCGTTGCTACTTCATAACTGTAATTTTGCGGCTGTTATGAATCGTAGTGTAAATATCTCATATGCATGATGTATTTTCACTCACTGGCTCAAATTTGGCACAAATACCCGATCCGCGTAGTCAAAGCCATGGTATTCCCTGTAGTAACCTACGGATGTGAGAGCTGGACCTTAGGGAAGGCTGAGTGAAGGAAGATAGATGTTTTTGAGCTGTGGTGTTGGAGGAAAGTTCTGAGAGTGCCTTGGACTGCGAGAAGATACAACCAGTCCATCCTCCAGGAAATAAAGCCCGACTGCTCACTGGAGGGAAGGATACTAGAGACAAAGTTGAAGTACTTTGGCCACATCATGAGGAGACAGCAAAGTCTAGAGAAGACAATTATGCTGGGGAAAGTGGAAGGTAAAAGGAAGAGGGGCCGACCAAGGGCAAGATGGATGGATGGCATCCTTGAAGTGACGGGACTGACCTTGAAGGAGCTGGGGGTGGTGACGGCTGACAGGGAGCTCTGGCGTGGGATGGTCCATTAGGTCACGAAGAGTCGGAGACGACTGAATGAATGAACAACAACAACATGTTGTGGTGACCCCCAACTATAAAATTATTTTCGTTGCTACTTCATAACTAATTTTGCTGCTATTATGAATCGTAGTGTAAATATCTCATATGCAGGATGTATTTTCACTCACTGGATCAAATTTCGCTCAAATACCCGATACACCCAAATTTGAATACTGGTAGGGTGAGGAGGGATCGATTTTATCATTTGGGAGTTGTAGTTACCGGGATTTAAAGTTCACCTACAATCAAATAAATAAATAAATAAAGCCTGACTGCTCTTTAGAGGGAAGAATAGTAGAGGCCAAGATGAAGTACTTTGGCCACATCATGAGAAGAAAGGAAAGCTTAGAGAAGACAATAATGTTGGGGGAAATGGAAGGAAAAAGCTAAAGGGGCTGACCAAGGGCAAGGTGAATGGATGGGATCCTTGAAGTGACTGGATTGATCTTGAAGGAGCTGGGGATGGTGACAGCTGACAGGGAGCTCTGGCGTGGACTGGTCCATGAAGTCACGAAGAGTCGGAAACGACTGAACAAATGAACAACAACAACAATCAAAGAGCATTCTGAACACCACCAACAAGGGAATTGAACAAAACGTGGCACACAGGACTCCCATAACCAACAGAAAATACTGGAAGGGTTTGGTGGGCATTGACCTTGAGTTTGGGAGTTGTAGTTCACCTACATCCAGGGAGCACTGTGGACTCAAACAATGATGGATCTGGACCCAACTTGACACGAATATCTAATATGCCCAAATGTGAATACTGGTGGTTTGGGGAAAACAGACCTTGACATTTGGGAGTTGTAGTTGCTGGGATGTATAATTCACCTACAATCAAAGAGCATTCTGAACCCCACCAATGATAGAATTGGGCCAAACTTTCTACACAGAACTCCCAAGACCAACAGAAAATACTGTGTTTTTTGATGGTCTTTGGCGACCCCTCTAACATCCCCTTGTGACGCCCTCCCCAGGGGTCCGGTAGGCCAGGTTGAGAAACACTGGCCTACCGGAACAGCCAGTACGAAAACCCAACAAATGCTACGTTCAGCAAAGGACAAGAGAGATCTTCACACCTCTGTAGGAGTCTACAGTATATCATGCAGTTGTGGATAAGTCTACATACGGACCACCAAATGCTGCGATGTCCAAACATAAATCAAGGAACAAGAAAGGCACTGCAGACTACTTCAACCAGAGAAGTCAACCATAGCAGAGCACCTGATGAATCAACCTGGACACAGCGTATTATTTGAGAACACAGAAATGCTGGACCACTCGAACAACCACCATGTCAGACTACACAGTGAAGCCATTGAAATCCACAAGCAGGCGGACAATAAATAGTAACAACAACAATACTTTATTTATATTTCGCCCTATCCCTCTAAGGGGACTCAGGGCGGATTCCAGGATAACAATGGCAAACATTCAATGCTAACAAAGAACATATGATAGTAACATAAAATCCCAGAAAAGCCCCACATATAAAAGTAATATTAAAGCCTAACATCAAATTAAGACCGAACATCAGTAAATTAAACCTGAGATCAATAAATTAAAACATAATCAGACAAAATTATATAAATATAAACAAACATCCACATTATTTCAATGGACAATTTCAACAGAAAGGAGGAAACCATGAAAATGAACAAAATCTGGCTACCAGTATTTTCAAAACTAAAACCTGTACAGTAAATAAAGAGCAACACTCAAAAGACAGGGAAATTCCAGACAGGAAACAATCAATGCTAACGAAGGTGGCCAGTTACAACATACACATGCCTTCAACAGACAAGAGTTCTTTCCCCCATCCTGAACATTCCACAGATATATAAACCTCACTTGCCTTGTTTCCAACAGACCTCACAACCTCTGGGGATGCCTGCCATAGATGTGGAGAGAATGCTTCTGGAACATGGCCATACAACCCAGAAAACTCACAGCAATCCAGCCTATCGGCTATTAGGAATTGTGGGAGTTGAAGTCCAAAACACCTGAGGGAGGGCCCAAGTTCCCATGCCTGTTGTAGAACCAACTTGCCCCCATCTGCAGATCTATTACCGTAGGATAGCAGACCAAGAAGCGATGAAATGGTTGAGTTGTTGATGTTAACTGACTAGCGGGTTTTGTTTCTAACTTCTATCAGTTTATTGTGTTAAGTGAATTTGTTCAGAAGAAACGTGGACAAAGGTTACCTCTGAGAAGACATGTGAAGTAGAAGTTGAGATATGTAAGAAATGATTATGCCTTCCAACCCCATATGCATCAGGGAAAGATTGTTTTGGTAAGAATTACTGCTTATATTAACAGAAAGCAGAACGCAATATCTTCCAGTTGATGAGCAAAAAGTTCAAGCTCAATGAAATGTTGTTAATCCCATGGAAGCTAATAAAATAACACAAGATAGGAAGTATGATGCCAAGTCCCACACATTTCAAGGGCCCACACTCATTTACCTTAAATACACAAGTTTATTACAAACGAATATTCTCTTCTTCTATCCTATGTTCTGCCAAAAATTTTAACCCTTAAGACCGTGTTTATACTTTGCATGATTTTGTAGTCAGGTGCATTTGTGGGGGAGTCTTGGTGGCAGCTCTCCTCAAGATGTAGACTGTTAAGGTTTCGTTGAATTTTCAGAACAACATGGCACGGAGCTCTGCTCTTCTGAAGGTTCAACAAAATCCTAACAATCCACATCTTCAGCAGGTGACCTATGATGTTCTTATTCAGAGTGACTGAATGATGAGGGGCAAGGCACAATAATTCACATATTATTAGCCACAGTCCTATGATTAAACTAAGATGGCACTATTGTTACTCCACTTACATGAGGCCAGGTGGGCTTATATTTGAGGCACTGTCTCCTCAGCAATAATGCAACTGTGGCATGCCCTCCCTGTGGAAATCTGTACATCTTTTCTTTACATCTTTAAGCAGTCGTTGAACTAGTGTTCCTTCTGAATTTCAGCATTCTTTTAATTTTTGTCTTCCAGATGTTGCACGTTGCTTTTTCAGTTTGTTGATTTTAGACTGTCTCCCTGATTATGGTTCTGATAAACATTTATAATAAATAATAATAATTTTATTCTTATGTCCTGCCACCATCTCCCCAAAGGGACTCAGGGCGGCTTACAGGCAGCACAAAGTGCCTAAAAATAAACATGAAAGTGAACACAGTATAAAACACAATAAAATAAACACATGCACATATAGAACAAGATGTGATCCTCTAACCGTGGTGGTAAATTCCTGTAACCATGGCCGGGCTGTTAATATTAGAAATAAAGTAAATGCCAGCTGCAGTAATAGAGAGAGGGCAAGGGATAAAGTGCAGGATGTGCAAGTACTACGCAGGACAACTAGGGGCTAAATATTTTCAAAGGCTTGATTGAGGAGTCACGTCTTCAAGTCCCTACAAAAGGAGGACAGTTTGGGGGCCTGTCTAATGTCACTGGAGAGAGAGTTCCAAAGTCGTGGGGCCATCACCAAGAAAGCCCTCTCCTTTGTCCCCACCAACTGTGCTTGTGACAATTATTATATTATTTTGTCTTTTTAATTTATACCTTTGATTTGAAATTCAGGTATACTTTCATAAAGTAAATCCAAATTAAAGCTAAAATATGTTGCAATCTCACTGGACTCATTGGTGGTGAGTAAACATATACACACATATACATACACACACACATGTACTGGTCATAGTGTTATGAGAACACACATATATAGATAAATCCTGACAAGATGGTACCTAAATTGATTTTTTCGCATAGTCTGCCCTAATATTTCATGATGTAAGATGGGATACCTTTTAAATAAATAATGACTCACTTCTGCAAGAAGGACACCGGGATTCTTAAGTCACATCACTCACCTCTGTTTTATCCTATTCAACTTAGAGTTATGGTACTCTGCCCTACTGAACAGGATAATTCCTCCTCTAGGAACTATCTTACAAATATTATATAGTTCACTTTTTGTCAGTGGCATGGCTACTTATAATGCAAAGAACAAGGATATTTATTTTTGTATCTAATTTATTACATAATTCCCTTTCATCCAGTCCTCACAGTGAACCATGATCCTGTTATAGTTGCATTGCAATCACACCATCTCTATGCAAGCTAGCTTTAGATTCACAGTATGGAGAGTGTTCCGTGATTCAGTTTCTTAGGAAAATGAGGTCAAATTGCTGGTGTATCTGGGTTATCTAGAATATGGAATGCAGGGTGTGGAATTGGCTGGATCCACTTAGATTTGTCCTCGCTTCTCTCTTGGTAGTGGATAACACAGACCAGCTGCACAACACAGCATGGCACAGAGGCAGAGTAGAAAAGCCCCGGTCAACAGAAGACGCTGGCTGCAGAGGGCACGATCAGCCTGGGAGTGAAAGGAGTCTGGCAGTGAATTGTCCTAGTAGCAGCTCCCACCACAGAGAAACCCAGAATGCCAATGCATACGTACTGACCCCTTTCCTGGGTGTGAGTGACTGGCCACTCACACTTTTCTTACCTGGTCCAGCATACTGGACAGGGCAGGATTAGTTTGGTAATGTGATTGGTAGCAAATCCCTGGCTCTTGTAGATGCATGTCCCTCTCCTCTATCACACATGTGTGTGGCTGTCTGGGGGAAAAGAGGGCAGTGCTGCATTAGGGGGTTAAGAAGAGATCCTGGAAACCACAGTTCTTAGCTCTTGGCTCACCTTGTTTTGGGGAGAAGGGACAAAGGTGCAGTGATGCTAAGGCAGCTCTCCCGGGATATGGAGTTCATGATGACAGCCAAGACATGAATTGCCTCCTGAACATCAGGACCTGTATGTGTGGAAAGGTCAAGAAGGGATTGGCAGAACTGGGATTTCTTGAGATCTTTGTGGAAGAGGATACTGCAATACGTCAAGAGAGAGAGATCACTCACCTTTCAGACCTAATTCTGTTCCACTAACCGTCAGGCTTAGGTGGGTACCATTAGGAGGGTCTGTGCCATTGTGGAGGTCAAAGGAGAAGCCAACCATGACGGAGACGGTAGTGTGAGACTCAGCAATGGTTGCAGAAGGAGGTGGTGGTGAGGCATTTTCCTGAGTCTTATTTGGGACACAGAACATTAACTGAGCCAAAGACTGTAGCAGAGAGTTCCAGTCCTTAGAGATAGGGAGAAAAATTTCATCTTAGTTTCTTGTTTCCTTATTTTTCCTCATCTGCCTTTTTTCCATTTTGTTCAAGTTTCTCATCATCTTGCCTCTTAAAACCCTTTTTATTTTTAATTGATTGAAAACCGAAAGATGATAACTGTATTACTTGATTTTAAAGTTTGGATTGGTGTACGACAGTGGTTCCCAATCTGTGGTCTATGGACCACCAGAGATCCGTGAGAACGAAAATACGGTCCGCGTTTTCACCATTGCTACACTGTTGCCTCAAAACCACATGGCAACAAGAGTGACTGGTCTTGTGAAATCATCTTACAGTGCTGAGGTAATGGGAATGTTAGGAGAGGAGAGGCTGGCTACCAATGAAAGAGTACTACTGCCAAATCAGCTCCAGATTATTAAATATGGTTTTCTGTGGGCGAGCAGATGGTGACTACTGGATGGCATATCTTCTATATCTGAAACTAGAGCTAATGTGGTTTATTCAATGCAATTTTCTGAATCAGCACCCCAAATAACCAAACCGAATCTAAAATTGATCAAAAACTGATTCGTAACACTTTTGGTACTAATGTTGGAGAGTAGTCCCTTGTCAAAGTGGCCCCTGGTCAAAAAAAAGTTGGGAACCAATGGTGTATGGCCTCATCTTCAGAACATAGAACATCCAGGTCTACCCTTTTAAGGACAATTTTCTCTCAAACAAACGAACAAACAAACAAACAAAAACTTCCTTTGTAGCAGGGCTGACAACTTCTGTGGTTCTGAAGACCAGTATTCTGTTCCTGGGTTTGAATCATATGGTGGATATGAACTGCCAAAAATACCAAAACAAAGGTAGAAATGACTAGAAGTCTGTTTCTAGTTTTGGAAAACAGATGTTAAAAAATGTTCAATGCTACCAATTGGGGGACAGGGCTGTGACCTATTTAAAAAATGAATCAGTATTCCTAGAAGCTTCTATTTGAAGCAACCCATCTCATTTTTGTCAGAAAAAGTGGTCCGGGGAAATGGGAGCACGTTTCCTCATCTCTGCTTTACAGCATCTTTTGTTTTTCATTAAATTCCATAATACATACATTTAAAAATTAGAGCACAATGTGGAAAAATAACCACAGGCCAAAAGCAACCAGTCAGTGCTGCTAACACAGGAAATTCTGTTCTCATGGCTGAATCAGTGCATTCCCTTAGATTCAAATCATGTGTTTGAGTCTGTTTTGCAACAAATGCCTGGCTTTACTAGTTTTTCCCCCTTCATTGTGTGTCTGTACATGCATCAATCCTACTGTAGGGTTTTCTTGGCAAGAATTATTCAGAGGTCTTCCTCTGAGGCAGAGATGGTATAATTTGCATAAGGCACCTAGTGAGATTCCAAGACTGCGCAAGGATTTGAACCCTGGTCATTTAGCATCTTAGTCCAGCACTGAAGTCATGATAACACACTGATTCCTGCCTATAATTGGTGAGGAAATCGTTTGCATTTTATGTGAGTAAGCCGCCAATCAGTTATATCCCATAGTTTCAAAGCCATGGCCACTCCTTCCTTCAGCCACCAAACTTTAGCTGGAAAACCTTTGGTCCACTACAAACATTTTGGACAATGTCTTGCTGTTGGTCATGCTGGTTGATACTTCTGCAAGTTGTTTCAAATACACAAAGAACCAAAAGTTCCTCAGTAGCTAGCAAGATAACAAGGGAACCCTGTAGTTTCCACTACTATCTCCCATTCCTCGCCAGCCTGCACTTCTCCTACGGCCACCCCAATTCCATCACAAGTATTTTTGTCATACTTTCCACTTAAATTTGTCATTTCTTGCTCACCTCTTTGACATCAGGATTCTGAACCTCGTGTGACTGGATGTAGACAGCAAAACCAATAAAGGCAACAGCCAGTGAAAGAAGGCAGAAGAAGAAGGTGACCAGAGGTGGGTGTCGCTCCAGACAAACACGTAGGGAGCCCAGCAGGGAGCAGATGACCATGTTCAGCCCTAAGGTGAGGGTAAGAAGGTGGAAGTGTCATCCCAGCACTTGAAAAAACTGGCTGCAGTGGAGAATGCTGGTTCAAGAGCACTCCTATATTGTGCACACTATGAAGTGGTCAAGACCTGGCCCAGAAGCAGTATGCAAGTCTTCATTTCTCCCCTAAATTAAATGACCCTTGCACTCTCTATAAATTTGGACACACTTTTCTTACCTTCTCCTAATCTGTTTTAGGCACAAGCCTTTTCCCCAATATGATGTGATTTCTGGGCCTTTTGTGTTTCGAAAAATGAGCCTAAAAGACATTGTAAAGGATGGGATGAAACTGCCACTCCAAGGGGGCAGGAAGCCTTCAAAGATTTTTTTGTACAAAATGGTGTGTATAGTAGAGATGACCCTCTAAAGACAGTGGGGAGCTATCGATCCCTGATGTAAATGAGACTGACATACTTGGTTCTCATATATTTTATGGTGTTGTGCTGCTTTGACTCAAGTGATCCCCATGTGCTTTCTGAGGTAACACATTCCTACACAATTGAGTAATTTCATCAGCCTGGAAAATGAAATCACGTTAGCTTAACTCCTTATTCTGTACTTCATTCAAACAATTTGTTGGGTTTCCTTCTACTAATTCTTCTGAGTCTCAAAAATCATTTCTCTCCATCTTTTTTTTTTCAGAATTACATGTGTATGTAGTTCCCCAGCAACAAATGTTTTGAGAAACATACTCCACAAACATACTTTTTTGAGAAACATACTTAGCCTCTGATCGACTAATGGGGCTACAGACTGCCCTGACATCGTCAACATCCCCCAACATACTACTTGACAACTATATGAACATCACTCAAGAAATACAGAAGCACCTAAGGTTTAACAATTTTACATCAAGGAAGCAGCAACAGCAATACTCCAAGCCCTGGTTTGATAAAGATTGCGTCAATGCTAAAAATGCTCTTGTTGCTACTTATCAGGCCTTCATATCCAATACCTCACCATCAGCAGCGCAAGACCTCCTTCAACAAAAGAGGCATTACAAGCAGATGCTCGCATATAAGAAATGCCACTTACCAGGCCTTCGTGTCCAATACCTCACCATCAGCAGCGCAAGACCTCCTTCAACAAAAGAGGCATTACAAGCAGATGCTCGCATATAAGAAAAAGGAAGCTATGAAAAACAACTGGGCTCAGCTTATTAAAGCTGTCAAAGAGAAAGACTCAGCCACTTTCTGGCATATTACATCAAATGCCCAAAGATCTGATCAACCTATTGTGGATTCCCACATCCCTCCGGGGATTTGGGAGGCATATTTCCAGGATCTCTATATGGACATCTCTACTGGAAGGGACTGCCCCAACCTCGATACAGAGAACCTTCCACCATGGCCACCTGTATCAGCTACAGAAATTAAGAACCTGGTTGCCCAACTACCATCAGGCAAGGCCCCAGGAGAAGATCTTATCCCAGCAGAGGCCATCAAGAACAACCTGGATTTCTGGACCCCCATCCTAGCCTCACTTTTTACATGTATTGACAACCATGGCCAAATCCCCAAGGATTGGGGGCTTGCAATCATTGTTCCCATCTATAAAAAGAAAGGGAAAAAGGATGATCCTGCGAACTATCGACCAATCAGCCTCCTTAACACTATCAGCAAGCTATATGCTAGACATCTACAATGGAAACTCCAAGATTGGTTGGAACAAGAAAGCATATTAGCTGAGGAGCAAGCTGGATTCAGGGAAGGTCGATCCACCATAGATCAGTGCCTAGTGCTGCAACACCTTGTGGAAAAATATTCCTCCCAAAACATAACCTCACTATATGCTGCTTTTATTGACTTTAAAGCAGCATTTGATTCCATCTCGCGAGTTAAACTTTGGGAAAAACTGGAGAGTTCCACAATTGATCGCCGTCTACTATATCTAATACGCCAACTTCACGAAAAGACCACACTCAAAGTAAGATGCAACCCACAGGGCCACCTCACTGAGGCTGTTGAAACAGGCAAGGGTGTCAAGCAAGGCTGCTTCCTGGCCCCTTTGCTGTTCAACTTCTATATAAACTCCATAGTGGACCAGCTTCAAAACATGGACTTCCACCCCCCAAAGCTGGCGGGAAGACACATCTCCATCCTGCTTTATGCAGATGATGCTGCTGTACTCTCTAGAACACCCATTGGGCTCAAAAGAGCTTTGAGAGCATTAATACAACATTGCAACACAGATCAGCTCCAACTCAATTACAATAAAACTAAAATCATGGCTTTCGCTAATAGGCCCAGGACTTACTCTTGGAGCATAGATGGTCATAAAATTGAACAAGTTACATCCTTCAAATATCTAGGTGTAGTTTTCCAATCTAATGGTAGCAGAAGAGCTCATGGGGATCAAGTATCCAACACCGCGCAGAGGAGCTCAATTGCCATTCTTAAATATCTTAGGACAAGAGGGGGCCACTTCACACCGGCAGCGCTCAAGCTGTTTGAAGCCAAGTCATTAGCCCAACTCTTGTATGGGGCTCAGCTGGGCCCCTTCCCCAGTTTTGCCCCATTAGAGGTGGTTCAGTCCAAGTTTCTGAGATCGGCCTTGCAGGTACCTAAATGCGTTTCTAATGCCACCCTGCGACTAGAGACGGGCTTTATGAGAGTGGAGGCCAGGGTGTGGGTGGCCATACTTAACCTCTGGCTCAGACTGTCCCGTGCACCCCTTGGCCTTGCCCCACTAACCATGGAGGATGACTTCCAATCCACATGGAAGCAGGCGGTAGCATCCAAAATCTCCTCATTGGGATTTTCTCCAGGTCTACTATTAGCTATGGATTACAATCAAGCCAAAGCACTTATTAAACAATGTATCACAGACACAGAGCGCCAACTAGATCTGGCCTCGGCTCCAACCTTCCTTATCAGTGAAGACAGCAGATACCTTGCCTCCCCTATGGCATATTTAACATACTTAGAGGTTCCTATTCATCGAAGGGCTTTCACCCTGGCCCGATGCCACGCTCTCCCATCAGCTGTACTCGAAGGCCGCTACCGGAAGATCCCTTTCCCAGAGAGGCTCTGCCCCTGTGACTCGGGTCATGTAGAAACAATAGAACATGTGCTCCTTCAGTGCCCGTTCTACAGGGATATCCGTGCCAGGCTTATCTTACCTCTGATAGACAAGCACCCAGGCCATTCAGGACAATTTTATACCTCCATGCTACTTGAAGATATTAATTCAGCTACAACCTACAATGTTGCAAAGTTCTGTGCAGCAGCATGCAAAATCCGTCAGGGAATGACTAGTCCCAAAAGTGAACTATGTGTCCAGTAATCTTCTTCTCTGAATCTATCAATTTGGTGATGGATCTGTGCATTGTATGTTTTTACCCTGTTTCCCCTTCCGCTCCCTCACCCATATTGTGTTTCAGTAGTTATATTTATATTTTTAATGTACCAAACATGCCAGGTTTGTCTGGAAATGTGACACTATTTCCTGTGCTGGTCAATGACCGAAATAAATATTTTGAACATACTCCACAATGTCCAGAATTCCGATAGGAACATATGTGCTTGTGAGTTCCCTTCATGTGTGCAGATGTCCTTTTTCGGGTGCTGTGGGGGTTGGAAGTCTCTTCCTTTCTTTGCAGTGCATAAAGCGCCCATACTGCTTACTCAAGACCCATGAAGCCACCATGCATGGCCATTTTATGCTTTGTGGCAATCAAGCGGGCAGATCTGACTATCCTCATAACCTGAAATGAAATGATGGCAGGATTGCTGAGGTCTGCCAGGTCCTCTATGAGTCACTGAACTACTGTAATTATTTTCTGCCTGGCTATGGCAATATAGCCACCTCTCTTATCCCACCTGCTCTCCAAAAAGCATATAATGTCTCCATGTTGGACAGCTTCAAGGGCTTTTCAGTAAGTTGGGATGTTGGTATATGATCTAGTGTTGTACACGTCCATATGCAGGTATTTATGCTATATTGAGTTGATGCTGGATTGCAGCCTTTGACCCTGTTTGTCTTCAGAACAGAGCTAGCAAGGCCGTGGTGCAATTAACAGATAATCCCTTCTTCCTCTACACTCTTAACATTGGTTTCCCTTTTAGATCCACAAATGATTCCTTGCTGCCAAAGGATGTGACCCAGCCCCTAGCTTAGATGACTTAAAAGCCCATTGCTGGAGATCGTCCATCAGTGGTATTAGGCATGACAAATGGCACTTGCAAGGAGCTTCTATTTCTAGTTACCCATGCCCTTTTTAAAAAATCCATTTTCTCTCTCTCAGTTTTACGTTTTCCCATCCCAACAGTAAGCTAGCATCCCATGATCAATGAGCATCTTCAGTCCTCACTGGGCTGTTTTAGGTCCTCCGCCAAACTTGTTGAAACCACTCCCTTCCCATGTGCATGATGTCATTTGGGCTATACCAATACCATATTCAGAAAATGAGTTTAGTATTGTGATATGGCAAGAGCAGAGAATGTACTTTCTGCAGGAATACCTGGTAGCCTATTGTAGGAAATATACTGGACTAAAAGGAGCTCTGGCCTGATCTACCAAGGATGTTCTATGGCTTTCCAGGACAGATACAGTAATTCTACTGCTGCTATATTTATTTATTTGTCTTACCACAACTGTCTTCTTTGATACCTTTACAAACCAAAATGTGTATGTTCAAGAATCAAATTACATAATTTGAACCGATTGGTAGACCACAGGAGATAATGCGGAATAATAATTGACACCTGATCCTTGTTGTATCTCCCAGTATTGATTTCTCAGATAATATGTGATTCACTTCGCAGCCACTTCAGCTTCCTTCCAAAAAGAAGGTCAGTGTGGCCATCTTTCCACTTCATGTCAATCCCTGAAAACTTTCCTGCCAAATCACCACTCAGCTGCTAAAATGAAAAGTGGAGATGGATGATGGCTGCCTGGAAGACCTGATTCCAGTTCTGAGGGGTTGCAGAGGTGGCAGTGAATAGTTAAAATTGTTCAAGGCCATGGCTGGGGTCACGTGCCCTTCCAGATGTTGGAATGCAGCTCCCGTTATCCTTTACTATTGGCTATGCATTCTAGAGCGGATGGGAGCTGCAGGACAGTAACTTCTGGAAAGTTATGCATTGCCCAGTTCTGTTGTACGAGATTGCCTCCTCCATTACAAATACCCTAGAAGGCATGATCATCAAGTTTGCAGACGACACCAAATTGGGAGGGATAGCCAATAGTCCAAGAGGACAGGAGCAGAATTCAAAACGATCTTGACAGATTAGAGAGATGGGCCAAAACTAACAAAATGAAGTTCAACAGTGACAAATGCAAGATACTCCACTTTGGCAGAAAAAATGAAATGCAAAGATATAGAATGGGAGGCGCCTAGCTTGAGAGCAGTACGTGTTAAAAAGATAATGGAGTCCTCGTGGACAACAAGTTAACATGAGCCAACAATGTGATGTGGCAGCAAAAAAAAAAGCCAATGGGATTTTGGCCTGCATCAATAGGAGCATAGTGTCTAGATCTAGGGAAATAATGCTACCCCTCTATTCTGCTTTGGTTAGACCACACCTGGAATATTGTGTCCAATTCTGGGCACCACAATTCAAGAGAGATATTGACAAGCTGGAATGTGTCCAGAGGAGGGCGACTAAAATGATCAAGGGTCTGGAGAACAAGCGCTATGAGGAGCGGCTTAGGGAACTGGGCATGTTTAGCCTGAAGAAGAGAAGGCTGAGAGGAGATATGATAGCCATGTATAAATATGTGAGAGGAAGCCACAGGGAGAAGGGAGGAAGCTTGTTTTCTGCTTCCCTGGAGACTAGGACGCGGAACAATGGCTTCAAACTACATGAGAGGAGATTACATCTGAACATTAGGAAGAACTTCCTGCGAGAGCTGTTCAGCAGTGGAACTCTCTGCCCCGGAGTGTGGTGGAGGCTCCTTCTTTGGAAGCTTTTAAACAGAGGCTGGATGGCCATCTGTCAGGGGTGATTTGAATGCAATATTCCTGCTTCTTGGTAGGGGGTTGGACTGGATGGCCCATGAGGTCTCTTCCAACTTTGATTCTATGATTCTATAATATAATGGTATAGTACAATATAGTAACATTTAATACCGGTATTGTACTATGCTAATAATATAATAAATTATATGTATCTTGTAAGCAGCTTTGAGTCCCCTTCGGGGTGAGAAGGGCGGCATATAAATGTCGTAAATAAATAAATAAATAAATAAATTTCAACTCTTCTATAGTTTTCATACTTATGAAAGACACACATATGTAACCACCATAGAGCTTCTACTGCATTTTTCAGTGTCAGGTAATACTTCTCATCAAACTGGGTCCCCTTTTACACTGCCATATAATCCAGATTATCAAAGCACAAATCCACATTATCTGCTTTGAACTGCATTATATGAATTTACTCTGCCAGATAATCCAGTTCAAGGTCAAAAATGTGGATTTTATATGTCAGTATAGAAGGGGCCTGGGAGAGTCTCTGACAAACTAGAGAGCATGCAGGTCATTTATGCAATGGAAGCCATCTTGAATCCATGTATTTCTGTCCTGCTTTGTTGTCAGTCATTAATTTTTAACAAGTGCTAACGACTAGAAGACGAACATTACTATGGAAGTAAGAGAATGATTCTTTCTTAAATCAATGGACAATTGATATGGAACCCTTTCTGCCTCTCTGAACTTAAGCATCTGGACCAAAGCTAGCCACATAAACACTGAGGTCTGGATCAAACAAATTCATAAAAACCCTGATATAGTGTCATGCTGTAAATAAATCCAGGTGAGTTCAGTAAGGCTCATTCCCAGGTAGGTGTGCACAGGCCTGCAGTCATGGTATTGTTTGGGGGCAATTGACCTTTCATTTTTTCAGACCGTAATTCCTACAATCCCTCACCATAAGACATGCTGGTTAGAACTTCTGGGAGATGAAGGTAATAACATTTGTAAAGACAAATTTACACTCCCACTCCGAAGGTAGAAAATGCATTTGAACATGCTGCCTAAATCATTTCTGCTGATGTTTCAGTGAAAAATTAAGGGATTTATAGATTCTCAACTGTTCATGTGGAAATGACCTATTTATACCATCACTGGTTCCAGTCCTATACTATATTTAGAATTGTTTGTCAAACTGCTTTTACTGTGGCAATTATCTACAGAAAATCCTTTGTTAAAAATACAACAATGGACTATTCAAAAGCAATTTTTTCTTTATTCAATTTCTATAAAACTTGGTACTATATAGTTGACTTCAGTATTCCATGATACACAGCTCTTTTACAAAGGATTCTTTTCAAAATAGGAGCAATAAACTGCCCTGATCTGACAAGCTCTTTTGGTCAGTCCAGCTTCTGACAATGGTACCCTTGGCCTAGCAGAAGCATTCTGGTTTTCAGTAGCAATAGGGCTTTCTAGCGGCTCCAACAGCTCATCGCCTTTGATCTCACAGATATTGTGTAGGATACAGCATGTAGCTATGACTACTGGGATGAGCTTCTCCCTGACATCCAGCCTCATCTGCAAACATCTCCAGCGAGCTCTCAGGACTGCAAAAGCTCTCTCTACACAGGTTCGGCACTTAGCCAGTCTCTCATTGAATGTCTCTTGAGCCTCAGTTTTTGGCGTTGGGTATGGCTTCATTAACCAGGGGCGAAGTGGATATGCATGATCCCCAATTATGACTGGGGTCATTGAAACCCCCTCCAGCACTGATGGAGTTTGTGGCCCAAAAGTGCCTTCATCCATACTATTGAAGAAGGGAGAGTTGTGCAGGATGCGGGAATCATGAGACCGCTCAGGAAAGCCAACGTAGATATCAGTGAAGCGGGATTTGCTGTCCACCAGGGCCTGCAATACCATTGAATAGAAGCCTTTACAATTAATGTAGGAGTCTGCTGAGAATGGCGGGCAAAGAATAGAGATGTGTATGGCATCAATTGCACCCAGACAGTTGGGGAAGCCCAACTCCTTGAAGCCTTCCATGATTTGTTCTGGGTCTCCCAGCTGAATTGTCTGAGTCAGCAGCCTGCTGTTTATTTCCTCACAGACCTCTTCAAATATTGAGCAAGCAGATGAAATTCCCACCCCAAAGAGTTCTGAGACAGTCTTGTAACTGTCATGGTGAGCTAACTTCCAGATGGTCATGGCAACCCTTTTCTCAACAGGTATATGTGACCGCATGCCAGTGTCTCGACGCTGCAAGGCAGGGCGCAACTCCTCCGCGATATACATCAGTGTAGAGCGTGACATTCGGAACAAAGAAATCCAGCACCTGTCATCCTGCTCTGAAGAAATCATCCGCTCCCACCATTCACTGCATCTTGGAAGCATCCAATGTGACCTCTCTGACAAGGCCATCAGCTCATGCTCATAGTGCAGGGCAGGAGAAGAGGAGTATACCATGGTGACCACAGAGACAATAGCATTTCGGTGAAGGCGCAGCAGGGCTCTCTTACGTCGCACACTGGCAGAGAGGATACGCCAGAGCACTGCAGCTGACCGCCGGAAGCGCCTGCGCTGCAGGATTCTGGCTATGGCAAAAATCACGGCACGTCTGTTGAGCATCCATTGTTGTATGAGCAACTGAGACGTTTGAACACAGGCAGCAACAAGAGCTAGGCACTCCTGCTCCATTTATTCCGCTTCTCTTGAAGTTCACAGTAGGTTCAAAGAGAAGGGATGTTACTGTGCTGGGTGATCAAACTCCTTCCCCAACTACTCCGATGGCCAAGGCTGGGATGACAACTGCAGGCAAGGAGAACTCAAAAGCAGTCTTTGAACTTCACCTGGAAAGGCACTGTTGAACTGAAGGGCAATACATTTTAATTGTCTTTTTGCTTGCTAATTAAATCACATTTACATTTTAATTATAAAGGCCTTTTTTTCTAATATACTAGTAAAGACATTCTCTTCTGCTTATGCACAGAAAGAAATCATTTAGGATTGAGCAAGGCAACACCTTACAGATGTTTCTGGCTATAATAACCTTAAAAGGTATGACAAATAGTGCTATTATTGCGCTATGCTAATAATGATAATATATTGTATGTACATATAATATTGACCATAATATTGTAATACAATTCCAATAATAATATAATACTTATATATTTTATAGTACATGTAATACTACTAATAATATTGTAGTATAGTGGTATAGTACAATACAGTAATATATAATACTAGTATTGTGCTATGCTACTAACATAATATATTTTATATGCATATGAGGTCTCTTCCAACTCTTTGATTCTATGATTCTATAACTTGTAAGCCGCTCTGAGTCCCGTTTGGGATGAGAAGGGCAGGATATAAATGTCATAAATAATATATATATAGCCAGGAATTATGTCATAGTTCACATTGGGAGACCACAAGGATTCCTGACCCTACAAAAGTCTCAAGCTTTAAGAAAGCAATGTATGGTTTGGTTCTGTCATGTAGCCTAGAGTATTCAGAAGCATACCTTCCTGACAAAAAGAGCTCTTCAACAGTGGAACTCCCTGTATCAGAGTATGGTTGAAGCCCCTTCGAGTCTTTTAAACAGAGGCTGGATGGCCATCTTTCAGGAGTGTTTTGATTGTGCTTTTCCTGCATGGCAGGAGGTTGGGCTAGATGGCCATGTAGTCTCTTCCAACTCTATTATGCTATGATTCTTCCCACTGATCATCACTCAGTCTTAGTTATTTACCTATACCTAGCGTTTGCCTTGACTAGATGGCCAGGTAGTTTCTTCCAACTCTATTATGCTATGATTCTTCTCACTGATCATCACTCAGTCTTAGTTATTTACCTATACCTAACGTTTGCCTCAAACTAGAACATTTGTTTTAGTACTTGCACTCCAAGCTGATCTATCAAGTAATTAATGTTTTCTAACATAAAAGCATAGCTTCCGTGAAAGTCCTGCATCCAGCCAAACAGTAGTTACTCAGTAGTGAAGAATGTCTGACACAAGTTCAGAGACAGTTATGGCTACATCATTATAAGCAGGTTGTGAGGGAAAGGCCACTAGATCCTCACTCAATTTATTATCTCACCCACTTTCAGAATCCCTACTCCTGTTACTAAAAGAGCAAGATTTCAAGAGGTTAATTTAATTCCTCCGAAGGCATTTCATTCAAACCTTGACTGTGGCTGAATTGAGTTTTAAATCCTCTTTTCTGTGAAATGAGCAAGACATTAATGTATTCTCAGTGTTTGAGGCTCAGTTCTGTGGGCCTACTGACCCAAATAATTCTGTTCAGCTGCTATTTCACTACAACACTTAGCAACACTTGCAGAAGTAATTTAATGCCTCTTTGCCCTACTGCCTTATTTTTTTAAAGAACAGCAGTGAAAAGCATTTAGAACTGATCCAATATTTGTTTCAATGCCTACACACAGATATAGTTTTTAACTATACTTATTTTCAGAATCTTCACAATTTTCAAAGTGTAGGCTGTTCTATTATGGCTGCAACCCTACACATCCTTGCATGAAAGCAAATCCCATTGAACCCAGCAGTACCTATTTCTGAGTATTATATTAGGGATGGTCACTAATAATAAGGGTTACCCTATGAATGGATGCTTGTGCTCTATGTACTATGCTGTTTCCCCAAAAATATGACAGTGTCTTATATTAATTTTTGCTCCCAAAGATGCATTAGGTCTTATTTTCAGGGGATGTTGAACAAAAAATGAACATTTATTATATACTGTAGTGTACAGTAGTTGTCAGTATATAATAAATATACTGGCCTCACACACAGGGCCACAAAAACAAGGGCTGTAAAGTACCTTGCTCCCACACACTGACTAGAGCAGTGTTTCTCAACCTTCCTAATGCCGACCCCTTAACACAGTTCTTCATGTTGTGGTGACCCCCGACCATAACATTATTTTTGTTGCTACCTCATAACTAATTTTGCTACTGTTATGAATCGTAATGTAAATATCTGATAGGTGGAATGTATTTTCATTCACAGGACCAAATTTGGCACAAATACCCAATACAACCAAATTTGAATATTGCTGGGGTTGGGGGAGGATTGATTTTGTCATCTGGAGTTGTAGTTGCTAGGATTTATAGTTAACCTACAGTCAAAAAACATTCTAAACTCCACCAACAATAGAATTGAACCAAATTTGGCACACAGACCTCCCATGACCAACAGAAAATGCGGGAAAGGTTTGGTAGGCATTGACCTTGAGTTTTGGAGTTGTAGTTCATATATATCCAGAGAGTACTGTGGACTCAAAACAAGGATTGATCTGGACCAAACTTGTCATGGATACTCGAAATGCCCAAATGTGAACACTGGTGGAGTTTGGGGGAAATAGACCCTGACATTTGGGAGTTGTAGTTGCTGGGATTCATAGTTCACCTAGAGTCAAAGAGCATTCAGAACCCTTCCAAGGATAGAATTGGGCCAAACTTCCCACATAGAACTCCCATGACCAAAAGAAAATACTGTGTTTTCTGATGACCTTTGGTGACCCCTCTGAAGCCCCTTGTGACCCCCCAGGGGTCCCAACCCCCAGGATGAGAACTACTGGTCTGTTTCTGGACCTGGGTTGTTGGAGGTTTTTCTGGCTATATGGCCATGTTCAAGAAGTATTCTCTCCTGGCGTTTCGCCTGCATCTATGGCAGGCATCCTCAGAGTTCCTGGACCACTTGTACAGCAGAAATGGTATCGCAGCTTCTGGCCACCAGGGGGGGCATGCTTCCAAACAAAAACTTTGCTAGGTCTTATTTTTGGGGGAGGCCTTATACTCAGCAATTATGCAAAACCTCTACTAGGTCCAGGAGATGTCTTATTTTCAGGGAAACAGGGTAAACTGGATACTCTGAATGCTCATGAAAAGCAAGGGACCAATGTTCTCCAATTAATCTGAAAACTGGAGAAGAAGCTGCAGCAGATGGGAAGCAACGTGCCGATTTTAACAGCAAACTGGTGTATGTATGTGTAAATAAATGACAAAATACCATTTCCCCAGAAAATTTTCATACAGTTTTTAATGGCATTTTGCTGCCAACAATACAGGGGAATAGCAATTATGTTTGCTATGGTATTCCTTTCTCCCTTTGCCACCTTCCCTGCCAGAGCTTCCATGAAATGTGTTGCCCATTCCAATTGTCACAAAAGCATGTCAACAACAAAGACAGGAAAGAAAGAGTGATGGAGAGAGAAGAAGGAAGCTTGTGGCAGACTGCCTCATGGTGCAGTGGCATGTGCAAGAAGGGGAGTTTTCAGAGTGTGAAAGCGTGTATCTTTTCATCAGACTATGATGAAAATCCCATTAGTGGCATATATGAGCTTAAGTATAGCTTGCACATAGATTTGTCATGCTGAACACCAGATGGGGCTCTTGTAATGTTGTTAAACTCAAAACAGATTGAGGTACCATAAAGCTCCAGGTAGACAGGTGAAGGCACCTGCCTTCCCAATCCTTCCAATCTCACTATTCCCCTCAAAACAGTGCTTGCTTCTTGGTGGAAAGGAAGAAGGAAGAAGGCACAGAGGCCCTGGAGACAAGGTCAGAACGTGGTACTTCCTTGCTTTTCTTCTTACACTCTCCACTGGGGAATGTCATACTGGCCAAATTTTTCTACACCAGAGGTCCCCAAACTAAGGTCTGTAGGCTGAATGTGGCCCTCCAAGATAATTTACCTGCCACCCACCTTAAACTTTAGACTTAGGGTCGCCCTAAGTCTGAAACAACTTGAACGCACACAACAACAACAATCCAAATTACCTTGACTATCTCATCATCCCAAAGCAGGCCCATGGTTCCCATTGAAATACTGGTAAGTTTATGTTGTTTAAAATTGTTCATCATTTTAAATATTGCATTGTTATTTTATATATATATATATAGCGGCGTGAGCTCCTGCTATTAGCCCCAGCTTCTGCCAACCTAGCAATTCAAAAACCTGCAAATGTGAGTAGATCGATATTTGGCAGGAAGGTAACAGCACCCCATGCAGTCATGCTGGCCACATGACCTTGGAGGTGTCTAGGGACAACCTATGTCCCTATGTCCCTATCTATGATTGAATTCCAATTTCTTTCCTCCTTCAAAATGAGCCGATTTGTCAGTGTCTGAATTGTCTCCTTCTCTCCACACTGGTAAGCAGCAGGGTCTCCCAGGGCCTGGCTGTTGGAAGGAAGGTTTGAACAGAGCACAAAGGCCAGAGGGGGAAGCAGACACAGGAAGAAATAACATGTTCTTTATGTTAGTTCAACCTGTGAGTTTTAGTTAAACATACACTTTCCGTCCTTCTATCCTAGGGGGAAAAAATTCAATTCAAAATTTTACATGGTCTGCCTAAATATTGCTTCTGAGGGGCTTCAACATAACACAAAATCTAGATAATAAATATACAGATGCAGGGGAATAAGGTTTCAAGTATATACTTGTATAGGAGCTCCAGTTTACCTACAAACATACTGGAGGGAAAGGAAAAGCTGGGAGTAGCTCAGACTGTGCCAGTCATACATTAAATTAACTCAAGTTCCAATCCTATTTCCATATTAGGGGGAAATAACTTTTAGATTGTATATCTGTTCTAGGAATCCAGGGCACACTTCGAGTCAGACAAAAGGGTGGTTCTCAGAGGTCTGGAAGAACCCTAAATGCTATAGTGTCGCACTCCAGATTTTGAAGCATATCCCAGCCAAAAATCATGCCTGGGGATACTAGTATTTAAAGGCACATTTGTCATGATCTATGTCCCTACTGTCCAGGATCCTTTGAGGCTGATCTTGCCAAAAGCCTGTGACAGGTTTTCCTTAGGGTTGCCATTAGTTAGAACTAACTGGAAGGCACACAAGAACACAACATAAAAAGCAGGGTCAAACATATTCTAGACCATGTCCTTCCCAAAAGTGTCTGCAGCCAAATCAAGGAATTTAGAGCTTGGGATATGTTGTGTTTCCTATATGAAGAAATACCAGTCAGATATTTCCTTGTGTTGCCTAGACAGGAGCAGGGGAAAACTGGCAACAGGGACAAAGCATCATAATAATAATCTGCACTGATCATTTAATTCAGTTGGCTACTACCTCGAAACTGCAGTGGCCAAATAACAAACTCCCTCAGGAACAAACAAAAACAAGCATTTCCTGCATCTCAGCGCTGTTGTGTAATGACTATGTGGGCCTCAAACAGGTTTCAGGATTTCCTATGTAATCCATCAGCGGAATCACTTTCTTTATACTGGTTTGAAATTGCATTAAATGGTCAGTGTAGATAGCCCCTAAAAAGTAACCGCATATTAACATGGTGACCTAACACAAAGCTACAGAAAACAGAACTGAAAGCACTGGGTCAACCAGAAGCCTTTCTCAATAAATGGTAACGGAGCTGCTCCTTTAGTTTGTTTCTGCAAAATGAATGTTCTAAAATATGGAACAACTGCTGGAAAAGCCCGGTTTCTACCATCAGGGCCTGTTGCACAAAAAGCACAGGTAGAAAAATTAATCTGACCCTCACGTTCTTACTCTAGAAAGTACAAAAGAAAATTAGATCTAAGAATTAAGGGAAAGTACTCCCATTGACCCATAGATAAGTCGACCCAGTTTTTTGGGGGGTGGATTTTTTGACTGGAATTTCTAGACATATACATGAACATATAGGGCAATTTTCTCATAAATATTTTGGCCTTCAAGAAATCCTAACAGCTGGTAAACTGGCTGGGATTTCTGGGAGTTGTAGGCCAAAACACCTGGGGACTCATAGGTTGAGAACCACTGATCTAGATTATCGGCTTTGAACTGGATTATATGGCAGTGTAGAGTCATATAATCAAATTCAAAGCAGATCATCTGGATTCAGAAACTGAATTACATGGCAGCGTAGATCCAGGCTATGAGACCATCTTTGGTATGGCTTTGAATGACATACCTAAATGTTCATCTATGCTGTAGGATTAATGTGGTTTGACAACATTTCACCGCCATGGCTAGGGAATCTTGTACTTTGGCGGAGAAGGCGAAATACCTTCTCTCTCCATGTACCAACCCGGGCCCTTCAATCTTCGGGGGAGGTCCTCCTGTCACCTTTACCAATCTCACAAGCCCGTCTTATGGGTACAAGGGAGAGAGCCTTCTCCTCGGTGGCTCCCTGACTTTGGAACTCTTTACCTGGAGAGATCAGGAAAGTCCCTTCACTAGAAACATTTAAAAAGAACCTTAAAACCTGGCTCTTCCGCTGCGCCTTTGGTGAGTAGGTGCACACCACAACATTTTGCACCCCTCAATGCTTTTCTGTTACTGGAGTTCACGCACCCCAAATGGGAAGTTCAACCTCATAAATCCCCGTAAATGTCTTGCTCCTTCTTTATCTCATCACAGTTTTTAAATTGTTTTATCCTGTACACGTGGCCCGCCCATTGTTATCGTTATTGCTATTGTGATTGTGTTTATTAGAATGTTATTTTAAGACTTTGTTTTCTTATTATTAATGTACTTTGGTGATGTTGTCGTTTTTTATGTTTGATTTTATTGGTGTAATATGTTGTCCGGGCTTGGCCCCATGAAAGCTGCTTCGAGTCCCCATTGGGGAGATGGTTGCGGGGTATAAATAAAGATTATTATTATTATTATTATTATTATTATTATTATTATTGTCAAACTATAACTCCCAGGGTTAAATGGCAAAGTTAAAGCTGGTACCAAACTGTATTAATTCTACTGTGTAGCCACTCAAAGGAGAAGGAAGATGGGGAAGCCTGTGAAAACTAGAGAGGGTCCCTGTACTTTTAATGGTTGTGTCTTTATATACCAGGCATGGTCAAACTTGAGCCCTCCAGGTGTTTTGGACTTCAACTCCCACCATTCCTAACAGCCTCAGGCCCCTTCCAAAGGAAGGGGCCTGAGGCTGTTAGGAATGGTGGGAGTTGAAGTCCAAAACACCTGGAGGGCCCAAGTTTGACCATACCTGGTATATACATTGTTTACACAACCATTAAAGGTACAGGGACCCTCTCTAGTTTTCACTCTGAGAACACCACTTTATCTACCTATCTATCTATCTATCTATCTATCTATCTATCTATCTATCTATCTATACACACACATATCTTACCTCAGTCCTGCTGTTGCCTCCAGCTTCCACCGACTCCCCCTCCTTTCAAAACCCTTCTCGAATATCGAGGCTACTGTCCCTTTAAAAGCGAGCGGCGCCCCTCCACTTTCAATCAGCCGAGGAAGTCGTACTAGGTCGGCGCATGCGCAAACTCATTCTTTTCCCTCTAGCCGGGCGTCTTTGAGCATATTCGTCGCACGTACGTGCGTGCGTACTGCGCACGCGCTCGCTCGCACGCCGGCCCGCTTCCTTCGCTATGAAAAGCACGCCTTCCCGCTCTTTGGTACTTTGCTCCAAGGAGCCATAGAGAAGAAGCGCAGAGCGGCCTCCTTTTGCTGGAAGCTTGGGGAGCCATTTTGTTTGTGGGCAAAAGTCGTCATTTGAGGCTTCCTCCTCTCTTCCATCATTGAAAAGGATTTGAGGAGTGTTCAAGCCTTATAGATGGCTCCTCTGAGGAAATAGAAAGGCCAAACTACATGGCCAGATCCATATGAAAGTGATTTTTTAAATAATAATAATAATTTTCTTCAATTTCCTCAGATGATTTTTGAAGAAGCTTCATTTTCCATCAGCCTCCTTGAAGCAGTGGCTTTCTTGCCTTCCTCCATTTCCCTCCTGCACCTTCTATCTCTCCTTCCTTGCCTTCCCTTATATCTGCCTTCCTTCCCCCTTTTAAAACTCTTCCCCTTCTTTTCCTTTCTCTTCCCTTCCTTCCCCACATACATTTTCCTTTCCTTTCTCTTCTTGCCTTCCATTATTTACGTTGTAAGCCTGAGAGCAAATTAATATTGTGTAAGCCTCTCAAAGGGCCTTTGTTACTGAGGAGCAAGGTAAAAATTCTCTAAATAATACCGAATAACTGTGGATTGCTGAGTGTTTTCCGGGCTGTATGGCCATGTTCCAGAAGCATTCTCTCCTGACGTTTCGCCTGCGTCTATGGCAGGCATCATAGAATCAAAGAGTTGGAAGAGACCTCATGGGCCATCCAGTCCAACCCCCTGCCAAGAAGCAGGAATATTGCATTCAAATCACCCCTGGCAGATGGCCATCCAGCCTCTGTTTAAAAGCTTCCAAAGAAGGAGCCTCTACCACACTCCCTCTGGGGCAGAGTTCCACTGCTGAACGGCTCTCACTGTCAGGAAATTCTTCCTCATGTTCAGATGAGGAAGGTTGTGTGATCAAATACATCTTTCTCCCTCAGTTTCTTCTCCCAACTTTTCTTGCTCTTCTTTTCCTTTATGATTTTTCTCATCGACTTTGACCCTCTTTTCTTCCTTTGCTTTCCATCATACTTTCCTCTACTTTTCTTTCCTTTCTTCCCTCCTGCCATTTCTTTCTTCACTTCCTTCCATACTTTCCCCTCTTTCTATTTCTTCTCCCTTCATTCCCTCAATTTCTTCTCCCAACCTTTCTTGCCTTTCTTTTCCTTTGATTTTCTCGTCAAACTTGACCCTCTTTTCTTCCTTCCTTTCCATTCCCGCATATTTTCCTCATCTTTCTTGCTTTCCTTTCTTCCCTCCTGCCATTTCTTTCTTCACTTTCCTCCATACTTTCCCTTTCTATTTCTTCTCCCAACCTTTCTTGCTTTTCTTTTCCTTTCTGATTTTCTCATCGACTTTGACCTTCCTTCCTACTTTCCTCTTTCTTGCTTTTTTTAAATTCCCGCTTGCCATTTCTTTCTTCACTTCCCTCCATACTTTCCCTTTCTATTTCTTCTCCCAACCTTTCTTGCCCTTCTTTTCCTTTCTGATTTTTCATTGACCTTGACCCTCTTTCCTTCCTTCGCTTTCCGTCATACTTTCCTCTTGCTTTCCTTTCTTCCCTCCTGCCATTTCTTTCACTTCCCTCACTTTCTATTTCTTCTCCCAACCTTTCTTGCCCTTCTTTTCCTTTCTGATTTTTTCATTGACCTTGACCCTCTTTTCTTCCTTCCTTTGCGTTGCCTCATACTTTCCTCTTCTTTCTTACTTTCCTTTCTTCCCTCCTGCCATTTCTTTACTTCCCTCCATACCTTCCCCTTTTCTTTCTATTTCTTCTCCCAAACTTTCGACAGTGACCTACTCTTCCTTCGTGTTCCCTCATCCTTTCCTCTTCCTTCTTGCTTTCCTTTCTTCCCTCTGCCATTTCTTTCATCCCTTCCCTCCATACTTTCCTGACTTCCCCCCTTTCCTCTGTCTCCCTTCATTCCTTCTCCCTTCTCCTCATACACAGGTCACCTAGCAACAGCCAATCAGCTTTGTCCCTTTTTCGGTCATGTCTCATTGAGCCACTTCACCAAATCTGCTTTATTTTATTTGGCCTTTGCTTTGAGCATAGGATAGGTGGTTGTTGTTTTATTTGCATTCTTTGAAGTTGGGACAGGACAATGGAGGGAACATGGGCAGGCAGCCCAGAAAACTCACAGATATCCAGTGATTCCAGCCATGAAAACTGCCATGCCATCTTTTGAGGCACTGTGTAGGTGCCATTTGTAAGCCCCAGGGGTAGAGATAGGCGGGGTATAAATAAGGCAAACAAATAAATTAATGCTTGGTCCGGATCCATCTATCCATTTAGAAGGCTTTGCGGTATAAACCAACAAACAGGTATACCAATACTTTGACTTTTATATAGACAGGTTTCAAACACATAACTCAGTTAAGAACGAGGATGAGGCAACAGGAAGTGTGAGAAATCTATCTCTAGGAAGGAAAATTCACCCCTGAAAGAGTTGTTGTTATTATGATTATTATTGGGAAAAGGTGTCTCAGCTGGAGCTTTACTCCTTAACCCTCATTTCCACAAGCCATTTTTTCAAAATCCAATTATTGCAGGGACAGAAAGTGAGGTGAAACAGACAACAAAGCAAACACCACAGGGGTATTCACCCTTTCCTATGCTATCCAGAACTTGCATGCGTGTGTGTGTGACGAATTATACTTTAAATAGTACATGTTTTTACATATACAAATTCAACAAGAACAAACCTACAGAACTGTGAATGACAGAAGATGTTAAAAAACAAGATTATGGCAACCAGACTGATTGATAATCCCACTTCTGACACATCCCTATTCTTTGGAAGCTTTTAAGCATCTGTCAGGGGTGATTTGAATGCAATATTCCTGCTTCTTGGCAGGGGGTTGGACTGGATGGCCCATGAGGTCTCTTCCAACTCTTTGATTCTATGATAACTTGCTTTGAATGAAATTTTTCTGTTTCTTGGCAGGGGGTTGGACTGGATGGTCCATGAGGTCTTTTCCAACTCTATGATTGGAGAAAACGTGGAGGTAGTGACAGACTTCGTATTTCTAGACACAAAGATGACTGTAGACGCAGACTGCAGTCAGGAAAACAGAAGACATTTACTTCCTAGGAGGAGAGCAATGACCAATCTCGATAAAATAGTGAAGAGTAGAAACATCACACTGGCAATGAAGGTCCACATATTCAAAGCAATGGTAACCTATGGATGCGAGAGCTGGACCATAAGGAAGGCTGAGTGAAGGATGATAGATGCTTTTGAACTATGGTGCTGGAGGAAAATTCAGAGTGCCTTGGACTGCAAGATCCAACCAGTCCATACTCCAGGAAATAATGCCTGACTGTTCACTGGAGGGAAGGATATTAGAGGCAAATATGAAGTACTTTGGCCACATAATGAGAAGACAGGAAAGTTTGGAGAAGATAATGATGCTGGCAAAAAGGGAAGGAAAAAGGAAGAGGGCCAACTAAGGGCAAGATGGGTGGATGGTATTCTTGAAGTGACTGGCTTGACTCTGAATGATATGGAAATGGCCACAGCTGACAGGGAGCTCTGGCGTGGGCTGGTTCATGAGGTCACAAAGAGTCGCAAGCAACTGAACGAATAAACAGCAACAACCAATACACTACCATTATTCAAGTGCTGCTATTACAGTTGACAAAATGTATTTATGTATAGCCTTTTAATAAAATGGCCTGTTGTACTGTTGAAGATTAGGGGCTTTACAGCAATTAAAGAAATGAGCATCCCATCAATCAGCATATATAAATAGACAACTTCTCAGAACTGACCCTACATACCTAAAGGATGCACAGAAGGTAGATGCCAACTCCCTAATTTCTGCTAAGGTGTTCCAGCTCTCAAAGTACCTCCTTCCACCTCACATCCCATCACCACCACCAAAGCATTGTGTTTGCAACAAAGTCTGCCCTTCATCCCTGTGTTGTGCTGGACAAGAATCAGACACTGGCCATGCCAAAGATGTGAATTTAAATAAATTCTTTTTTTGCCTTTATTTTCAGGGGAATCCAGAGAAATTAAAAACCATGTGAAGAAATTAAAAACCAGAGCATTGAATCAGTGGGAAAGGAGTGGGGATGAGACATGAGCCCCACTCGGGGCAATTTGGGCTTATAACAGCGGAGGGAGGGAGGTAGGCAGGTGGCGTAGCTTCCCCTTTCAAGATGCCTGGGCTTCTCCGGTCTTCAAGGGGGGATAGGGGCAGGCGCTGGGCCTCTCCCCATGTTCCCCCTCATATCTTAGCGGTGCTTCCCCTGGGCTTTCTTGGAGTTAACCTTTTCCGTCCAAGGTATCCGTGTAGACCATCACTCTGCTAGGAGCTAGAGGGGAAAAGGAACACAGATAGTGATGGTGAAGTGAACACATATACACAGCAGAGATGTATCATGGCAAACCAGATCCCAGGCTTTCTTCGGGCCTCATTATTCTAATGCACATGTATCAAATTCAATCTAGTCCAGTATGTCATTTTATGCGCCCCCCCCCCCGATGCTAAATTCTTATATTCCTCATTATTAGACATCATGACTAGAGCTGATGGGAGTTGTGATACAGTAACATCCAGAAGACTGGAGTTTATTCCTTTTAGTCAGGAGAGTGGGGTTTGAGTGTAAATGCAAGGCTTTTGGGCCTGATGCCTAATCTTTAAAATGACCTTTGACTTTTTCTCAACCGCAGAGCCACAAAGGCTGTTGGGTTGCAATTCCCATTATCCCCACTTGCATGCCAGATCATCAAAAGTGATGGGAATGGTCATTCAATAATATCTTTGGACCCAAAATGAGTAAAAACTAAAGTGCACCAATCACTATGTAGAAATATGATTGTTGGCCCTCTGTATCCACAGATTTTCCATCTCTGGATTCAACAGACCTTTGAAGGCAACCATAAGGCTGATGTGGCCCTCAATGAAAATGTGTTTGCCTATAATAATAATAATAATAATAATAATAATAATAATAATAATAATAATACCACTTTATTTGTACCCCGCTACCATCTCCCCAAGGGACTCGGTGCGGCTTACATGAGGCCGAGCCCGAATACAACAATACAAGCAAAACAACAGTACAAGCAATTAAAATAAAACACAGACAATAAAATATATCCTATTCTAATGTATTATGATAGTGAAACAACAGACTTCTGACAATCTTCACAGAGACAGTTATCCTATAAATGGGCTGAACTATCGAGGGCAGACCCACACTCAGAATCAGTTGTTGCCTCCAGCACCTCTCCCCATGTGTCCCAATCTCATTCAATATAGTTTCTACATCTTCTCATACTCCAGAAAGCCAGCCAGCCTTGTAACTTAAACAGCATCTGTCTACCATATCTAGATTCAATAGCTGCTACGGAAGAAAGCATGCCCTGCTCTCTTGGTCTTTGGATTGTGCTGACTAATGGCTCTTAGGTGTCACTGCCATATGAGTTGTCCAGATTTATGTTCTCTGGCTGAAAATATTTTACAAAACACAATGTCGCCCTTTCACTGGAGGGTTAGGCTCTAGATTAGTCAGCATCATGCAGCAATTAAGGTTTGAAAATTAGGAACTATGTGCTCAAGCACAGCTAAAGTCTTGTTTTCAGAAAGTCAAAGGATGCAAAAATATGAATTCACCCTGTTTCAACTTTTAGAAACAACTTTCTTTATAAAATATAGTGCTTCATTGGAGTATTTGTGTGCATGTGTCAATGGTTATATGACAAGGAAAATACTAATGCATTTGGAAAATTATTTTTCTAAAGTTAAGATCATTTTGTATTTGTTTTGGCTATTAATCTAGCTGTTGCAAAGGGTCCCAGCTATTGTTTCTGATAAAAAGATACAGTCCACATTGACTCTTGGAGTGACATCTCCTTTCTAAGATCTCCAAATACCACTCCATCTCTTACATCCCTTCAACTTGTACAACTGCACTTCCCAGAATTCCATAAGACTACTTTTAACTAAAGTTAGAAAGGGCATTGCTCAGCTTTTCCGAAATCACTTAAATCACAGTTTGGAAATGACATAGCTAACCTTGGGTTCTGCATGAAGATACAGGTAGCTGGGCACAAAATATCAAGTCAGCTGAAGCAGGAAGTACTATGCTACCTGTATCACTGGTCTTACAGGTCTAAGTTTGATTGATCGAGAATTGTACAAGGAGTTCATTCCATGACTTACCTTGATTGTGTAGTTCCCATATATGACTCCACTCTATATTAGAAAAGAGGAAAAAAGGGAAAATTAGAAGCTATACACTGACTTGAAGTATTGCTAAATAACAATCAGTGTCCTTATATCCTGAGACAGTCAAGCAGTTCACTGCTCACTAAGAATGCTTTCAATGTTAACTGCATTCAGAATCTGTGGTGACCAAATGCACATTCTAGGAAAAACTAAGTATAGAGTCTGACGGTCAAGTGCATTTTACCCTAAACCCTAGTCATCATACCTGCCCTTTATTTCCTCACTAGACATCTTATACTATCCCAATTGTACTATTCCCCTTCCATACAATTCAAATGGCACCTTGAAGCATTTTAACCATCACATGAACGGCTTCCCCATCCCCTTCAAAACTGACTTAATATATTCAATCAAATATGTCACAGTTCCCATGCCTGAGCCCATAGTTCAGTGGCCACACTTCCATCACACAGTCCTAGGCCTCTTCCATCATCTTACCTTCCAAATGATAATTTCTTGCAGCTTGCCAGTCACCAGCTTCCATTTTTTCCCAGCATGCTCCAGGATCCACCTCCTCTTCCTCCTTATCTGATGCTGTTCCGCCACCCCCTCCATGCCCAGCCCCTGGCTCGTTGATAAAGGAGAGGCCCCATTCATTTTGGAAGATGGCTCCCAGATGCTGTCGCCGACTGTTGTCAGTAGGTGGGGAGCTGCTTGGGGGTGGCGCCAAGACACAGTTGGGGAGGCTATTCGTGGTGCGGACGGCGGAGGCAGGAACATGGCAGGCTTTCCCTGGCTGATCCAAGTTCTCTTTCAGCTTGCTGGCGTACGAGATCTTGGGGATGATCCGGGCGCTGCTGCTATCGACCGGGAAAGCGGGAAGAGGCCGGAAGAGCGACCATGTTTCCTTTCCAGACTCTTCAGTGGCTGTGCCACTGGTGTTAGTTGCCACAGCAGGTTTCTCACTTGTTTTGACGGTGCCGCCTCGCTCCGACTCAGGGGAGGAGGATGGGGAAGGTGGGTCAGAGTAGCCCCGGCGCCGGTGCTGCCATCGCCCATTGGAAAGACCCTCCGGAGCACAGTGGTGGTGGCCATTGGTGCTGGGCCCCCATTCTTTGCGGTCTGAGGGGCTCCCTCGGTAGGTCTTGCGGTAGGCAGCATGGAAGGGCCGGCCGTGGTAGAAGTGAGGAGGGTAGCGGCGCGGGTGATGAGGAACTGGAGGGTCCCGTTCAGACAACTGGAGGTTGCGGATGTTAAGGCTGTTAGAAGGGCTTAGGGGAACACTGGGCTCATCTGCTATCTCAGCTGGGGTGGTATAACCATTTGACTCCCACGACCCTGAAGAGGAAGGACAGCAACAGTGAGACCAAGGTTTGCATTAGTCACACAATTAGGAGAATACTGAGTCACACACATCCTGGCATATCACTTAAAATAATGCCTCCTCTCATTTCTGGTATAAGGCCAGAGGCCCAATTTTTATTTAGTTAGGTTCTTGTAGGTGTTTTTGGGCTATTTAGTTACTTTTTCAACTTGTCATAACTGTGTCCAGAACCATTTTTACTACTGCATTGGTGCTACTCAATGTGGTGCCAGTTCCCGAGGAACTGCTGAGCTGCAAGAAAGAAAGAAAAACAACTGTAGATAATGGGCAAAAAAATTATGCTGGCCCCTGACACACCAGTCTTACCACTACTCTGTCACTTCCCATATGTATGAGTTATGACTTATCCATTCCCATACGTAACTAAAATAAAATAGGGTGCTCTCTTGAACTAGTATTTAAAAATCAGGTAAGAATGCAGGGATGATGCCAGGTGCCAAGTCATCTGCATCCTTAAACATTTCAGAGCATGTCTGCTGCTTTCCTGCAGAATGCAAAATCCTTTTCTCCAGTTTGGAGCTCACTGGCCTTATACAAGGAAGAAGCAGAGGATCACAGTGATACAAGAGCATCAAGATCCAGACATGTGTCATGGGCAAGAAAACTCGTATGTTTCTCATCTTTACAATCCTCTGAGGATTTTTTTAAAAAAACAAATACTTTAGTATAGCAAGCTTAAAGGTAAAAGTAAAGATTTCCCCTGACATTAAGTCTAGTTTTTTTTTTTATTTTGCAATCAAAAATAGTTTATTGTATGGGCCTAAGGCCATGACAAAAAGCACTACACACGCACAGTAGTACATTAAGACCAGTCATGTCAAACTCTGGGGGTTGGTGCTCATCTCCTTTTCTAAGCCGAAGAGCCAGCATTGTCCATAGACACCTCCAAGGTCATGTAGCCAGCATGACTGCACGGAGTGCTGTTACTTCCTTGCTGAAGCGGTACCTATTGATCTACTCACATTTGCATGTTTCCAAACTGCTAGGTTGGCAGAAGCTGGGGCTAACAGTGGGAGCTCTCCCCCGGATTCAAACTGCCGACCTTTCAGTCAGCAAGGTCTGCAGCTCAGCGGTTTAGCCTACTGTGCCATCAGGGGGCTCTTACTAGCAAGCTTAGGTAAAGGTAAAGGTAGTCCCCTGACATTAAGTCCAGTCATGTCTGACTCTGGGGTGTGGTGCTCATCTCCATTTCTAAGCCAAAGAGCCAGCGTTGCCCATAGACACCTTCAAGGTCATGTGGCCAGCATGACTGCATGGAGCGCCCTTACCTTCCCACCGGAGCGGTACCTATTGATCTACTCACATTTGCATGTTTTCGAACTGCTAGGTTGGCAGAAGCTAGGGCTGACAGCAGAAGCTCACGCCGCTCCCCGGAATCGAACCTGCGACCTTTCGATCAACAAGCTCAGCAGCTCAGTGCTTTAACCCACTGCACCACCGGAGGCTCTATGACTAGCAAGCTTATTAACCTCCAAAACAATCATTTAAATGTACAGAGAAGGGGTTGGGGATCAGGTGCAGGAATTGCCCTTCTAAGTATAGATACAGCTTAGGAAAAGCGAAAATCTGAAATATCACTCCTGAAACTGTTTTAACCTTGCTTTTTTATTTAGCCAGGGCTTTTGAATAAGTCAAAAGAAGTCACAAGCCTACTTTCCCCCTCTTTATTAACTGCTTGGGACTTTGTTTACATAATCAAGGAGCCCGTTGTTCTATGGGCAGCTCAGAAAGCCAAGCAACTAGTATCTCAGTAAGCAACTAGCAAAAAAAAAGGGCTTTCTGCCAACAGGCTGGTGAAGGAAGTATAAGTCTCCCTCCTTCACAGCCACAACAGAAACCAAGTAGGCTAGTGGAGAAAGACTGGATATATGTGTCATTCTTTCGCCAGCCCACTCGTTTTTCACACGAAACTTCTGGTTGCCCTTGGCTACCAAATAGTTGTTAAATGGAATGCTGCTTTAGCTTCAAACTACCCTGCCTCTTCATTTTTTATGCTTTTCTAAAAAGAGGTGAAAAAGGGAAAAACAGAAATACTGGAGAAAAATGCCAAAATGTAAGAAAGTCAAACCCAAGACCTAAAATCTCATTACTTGGGGATCATTGCATCTGTTTCAAAAATTCCAGAAATTCTGAACTATGGGGTTCTTCCATATTTTGCTACTCAAAGAATAGTTTTTTTAAATATTGTTAGTTCTTTTAATTTATAAGCTAATTGCACTGCTAAATGTTATACCCTTCCACAAGTAGGACAGAAAGAAAAAGTTGGTATATAATAAAGAAAAAAGAGTTGCAAATAATCGGATCTTCTTTCACACTTCTTCAATAAACAAATCTGAGTGGATAGGTTCTATTGCAGGCATAGGCAAACTTTGGCCCTCCGGGTGTTTTGGACTTCAACTCCCACAATTCCTAACAGCCTCAGGCCCCTTTCTTTTCCCCCTAAGCTGCTTAAGCGGCAGAGGGGGAAAAGGAAAGGGCCTGAGGCTGTTAGGAATTGTGGGAGTTGAAGTCCAAAACACCCAGAGGGGAAAAGTTTGCCCATACCTAGTCTACAGTGTGGAATTAGGGATTCTGAGAGTGAACGTTATCTGCACTGAGATGGAGCCCTTCTGAGACAGAAAAAAGCACAGACACCATAACAGAAGAATGGGAAAGCCCCAATTCAACACAACACACCTTCTCTGGAGACCTGGCTTGGCCTGTAGCCCAGCTCTGCTCCACCCCCTGCATGACAGAAAGAAGGTTTTATTTACAGCATTTACAGGTTGAAAAAGGACAGTTTGCATTTAGATTTCTGTTGCAAAAAAAGGAGTCACTAAGTGGGCACTGAATGGGGGGCATCCTGGTTGGAACGGAAAACCGGTGCTAGTTCAGACTAGTGCACTGAGAATTATCAGGGGGTGGACAGGAGATGTGGCAGCTGGTATGTACATGCATGTGCCTTCAAGTTGCCTGTTGGCTTATGAAGATCTTGTTAATTTCACAAGGTTTTCTTGGGCAAGGAATACTCAGAGGTGGTTTTGCCAGTTCCTTCCTCTGAAATATTGCTGATAGCTGATGAGATTTCATGTCCACAGACTTGGCAGAAACTGCAAATTTTCCTGCATGGAAGAATGGGGTTGGACTGGATGGTCCTTGTGGTCTCTTCCAACTCAATGATTCTACATGGTCGTGGCAAGAAAAAATGAAGCAAGAATGCACTCTAGTGGTAGGGAGAACCTCTCTTCTGAAATACAGCTGGTAGTTTGAATATTTCCCCAATAAGAAGGGGGTTGGTACTGGCCCACAGTATGTTTTTTTGCACATATCCATGCCCACCCCACCCCCCAGTACTTTGATCATGTCCATTATATTCCTGGTCACTGGTTGCCAAGTTGATTTGATATAGTTTCAACACTATTTTTTATGCCGTGCTGTTTTAATTGTGTTATAATTCATTGCCCTATGTTATTATGTTTTAAACTGCGATAGTTTAATCATGTCCATTATATTCCTGGTCACTAGTTGCTGAGTTGATTTGATATAGTTTCAATGCTGTTTTTATGCCTTGCTGTTTTAATTGTGCTATAATTCATTGCCCTATGTTATGTTTTAAACTGCGTTTTTGTCAGCAAATTTTGTTGTACGTTTTGGGCTTGGTCCCGCTTGTAAGCGGCCCTGAGTCCCTTCTTGGAGATGGTGGCGGGGTATACAAATAAAGTCAATATTATTATTTGATACATAACAAGATTAGTACATAGCAAACAAGATCACTACTTGAATTTTTATATTTGATCACACGTTGGACACTTCCCAAGTGTCTACAACTGTATTATTATTATTATGCTGACACAAAAACACAGTATGACACAGAAAAAAGATTTATATGCTGGATTTTGTATCACAAAATCACAAGTCGAATACCTCCCGAGCATTTAGGACTGAGTGATGTATTTTCAAAGATGCGCGCAGATCCAAGTAAGTGGCCTTTTGCCAGATCGTGATTCTGTCAAAGTTTATTGTTTTCAAATGCCGGCAGAGATCTTTGGCATGGCATCCAACGTGCCAATGACCACTGGGACCACCTGTACTGGTTTATGCCAGAGCCTTTGCAGTTCGATTTTGAGGTTCTGATAATAGCGGAGTTTTTTCTGTTGTTTTTCCTCAATGCGACTGTCGCCTGGTATGGCAACATCAATAATCCAAACTTTTTTCTTTTCCACAATTGTGAGGTTTGGTGTATTGTGCTCCAAACCTTTGTCAGTCTGAATTCAAAAGTCCCACAGCATTTTTGCATTATCATTTTCCACTACCTTTGCAGGTTTATGATCCCACCACTATTATTATTATTATTATTATTATTATTAATAATAATAATAATAATAATAACAACAACAACAACAACATGTTCCGTCAGGCTCCCTGTATATGTAGTCAGTCAACTTCTGATGGTCCTGTATATTTCAAAGAGTTTTTTTTAACGTCAAGGAATACTCTGAGATGGTTTTTGCCAGCTCTTTCCTCTGAAACATAGCTGTTAGTTTGGATTATTTTCCCAATATGAGGAGAGGGGTGCTGCTGTGGGGCACATTGTTGGAGGTGAAAGATGAGATTTCATGCCCACAAACATGGCAGAAATTACACAGTTGAGGCAAGAAAAGATGAAGTAAGAAGGCACTCTCTGAATCCAGTAGTTTAGAGATACTTAAGACTAAAGGGATAATAGATAGACCAGGAATGGGCAAGCTTGGGCCCTTCAGGTGTTTTGGACTTCAACTCCCACCATTCCTAGGCCCTTTCCTTTTCCCCCTCAGCAGCTTAAAGAAAGGGCCTGAGGCTGTTAGGAATGGTGGGAGTTGAAGTCCAAAACACTTCCATTCAACCTACATCCATTCAATTTGCCCATATCTGCACTGGAATGAACATCCAGTAACAAATTACAATTTCTAAATTTGGAGATTTTGAAAAATTAAGAGGGCAAACTTGGTCCCTCTTAGTCGCTGAGGGGGAAAACAATGGGCCTGAGGCTGTTAGGAACTGTGGGAGTTGAAGTCCAAAACAGCTAGAGAACCAAAGTTTGCCCATGTTTGGGATAGACCCAAAATAATCAGGAGATATGGAGACAGTCTCACTTTGGAAAGGAGCAAAATTGATAACTTTTTATATAAAAAAGTACAAACTCCAAATGGATGTGATAGCTGTGATTTTCCTAGCTTCAAATCCGGGCCTATAAAATGCTGGGCCTGGTGGGAGTATTGTGGAGAGGAACACAATACTACCATGGAGGTTCCAAAGGAGTTTCCTTTGAGAAAAAAAGTGGGAATATAACTAAACCCAACAATAACAATAATAATAATGTATTGTCAAAGGCTTTCATTGCCGGAATCACTGAGTGTTGTGAGTTTTCTGGGCTGTATGGCCATGTTCAGAAGCCCTGAGTCCCTTCGGGGAGATAGAGCGGAATATAAAGAAAGTTTTTTTATTATTATTATTATTCTCTTCTGATGTTTCGCCTGCATTTATGGCAGGTATCCTCAGAGGTTTTGGAATTTGACTGGAATGGCGATACCGCTGCGGATACTGTTTTTATTGTTTTAATTAATGCTCTATTTATTGTTTTAATTGTTGCATTAATATAATTGTTATATGTAGCTGCATCAAACTGTTGCCAAGTGTAAGTCATCCTGAGTCCCACTTCGGGGGTAGAGAAGGACAGGGTAGAAACACTGGAAATAAATGATAATAATAAATAATTATGAAATCTGAGGAAAGACCTCACAACCTGAGGATGCCTGTTTTCTGAGTGTTGCTCTTTATTTACTGTTATAATTTTAGATTTTAAAAAAAAATACTGATAGCCAGATTTTGTTCATTTTCAAGGTTTCCTCCTTTCTGTTGAAATTGTACACATGCTTGCGGATTTCAGTGGCTTCTCTGTGTAGTCTGCCAAGGCGGTTGTTAGAGTGGTCTAGCATTTCTGTGTTCTCAAATAATATGCTGTGTTCTCAAACACTTGCCTCAAACATACAAGAGTTCTTTCTCCCACCCTGGCCATTCCACAGATATATAAACATCACTTGCCTAGTTTCAACAGACCACACAACCTCTGAGGATTTTTTTTTTGTCGTGTCAGGAGCAACTTGAGAAACTGCAAGTTGCTTCTGGTGTGAGAGAATTGGCCGTCTGCAAGGATGTTGCCCAGGGGACCCCTGGATGATTTGTTGTTTTTATCATCCTTGTGGGAGGCTTCTCTCATGTCCCCGCAAGAGGAGCTGGAGCTGATAGAGGGAGCTCATCCGCCTCTCCCCGGATTCAAACCTGCAACCTGTCGGTCTTCAGTCCTGCCGGCACAGGGGTTTAACCCACTGCGCCACCGGGGGCTCCATGATTGTTCCATAAGAGTTGAATTAGATCAGTGGTTCTCAATCTGTGAGTCCCCAGTTGTTTTGCCCTACAACTCCCAGAAATCCCAGCCAGTTTACCTGCTGTTAGGATTTCTGGGAGTTGAAGGTCAAAAGATCTGGGGACCCATAGGTTGAGAACTCCTGGACTAGATGGACCAAGTGGTCCTGTCCAACTTTCTAAGATTTCTTCTTGGTACAAAATGTATCAGAGATTGATGGATGAGCACCCATTATATGGTTGATTGGAGATTGCATCTAGGTGGTTGTTGATAATGGCCATCACATTGATTTAAATGTATTGTTGGCCTATGAGTGAGAGAACCTCCAATCTGAGCTCTTATCAATAGCTTTACAAAGATCTTGGCTCCCTTGATTGACTCTATCCACCTGAATGTAGCCTTTCTCTTTATCAAGTATAATGGTCTTATCAAGCCTTCTTATGACCTGCACATATACTCTTAAAAAGAATCAATTCCAAAAGTGGATGCCTGCCATAGATGTGGGTGAAACATCAGGAGATAATGCTTCTGGAACATGGCCATATGGCCCAGAAAACTCACAACAACCCAATAATAATAATAATAATAATAATAATATGGATAATAATAATTTATTTATTTGACTTGTATACCACCACTCCCAATTTGGCTCGGGGCGGTTTACAGCAGTAGATTAAAAACAATACAACTTTAAAATACAATAAAAACAAGAACAGACATAGCCCCGAGTTATTCACCCATTGAAAGCTTGTCGGAAAAGAAAGGTTTTACAGCAGGGATCCACAAACCTTTTAAACAGAGGGCCAGGTCACAGTCCCTCAAACCGTTGGAGGGCCGGATTATAATTTGAAAAAAACATGAATGAATTCCTATGCACACTGCATATATCTTATTTGTAGTGGAAAAGACACTTAAAAACAATGCAATAGTTAAAATGAAGTACAATTTTAACAAGTGTAAACGTATTAGTATCTCAATGGGAAGTGTGGGCCTGCTTTTGGCTGATGAGATAGGATTGTTGTTGTTATTGTGTGTTTTCAAGTCATTTCAGACTTAGGTTGACTCTGAGCGAGGGCCAGGTAAATGACCTTGGAGGGCCATATCCGGCCCCCGGGCCATAGTTTGAGGACCCCTGTTTTACAGGCTTTCCGAAAAGCAAGTAGCTCTCGGATGGTTCGGGTTTCAACTGGCAAGGCATTCCATAAATAAGGGGCCACAACTGAGAAGGCCGACGGGTTGCAATTATAATAATAATAATACTATTGAAACTCACCTGTGCGGATGCGGTTGCTGAGGTTGTGGCATTTCTCCTTCTTGGCTGCCAGGAGGTGCAGCTCCTCTTCTGGGTTGCGGTTCTCATCCATGCCCAGTTCCTCTTTCTGCATGGCCTCTGGATGCTCCGGGATATGGATTGGTTGGAAAACCCCAACGATGAGACCCGGCTAGGGATGTATTCTGACCCTCCTTTTAGTGGCTACTCTCCTTCGGCTCTACAAGCGAGTTCCTGAAAAGCTACAGACTGGAAACCCAAGGCAGGCAGAAGCAGGCCTCAATAGCAAACTCTTTCTCTCTACTCTTTGGGGCCTGTGGTATTTCTGACTAAAACTCCTCCTCTGTTGCTCTTCTAAACTAATATATTTCCAAAGTAATTCTTCTATTTTTAGTTGCCTCTACTCCTATTACTTTCCCGTTACTGCCATCCCCTCTTTTTCCTACCAAAATAATCCCCCCAAAGCGCCTTTTTCCTCCTTGCTTCAGGAGCCCCTCCCCAACTAGCTAATGTTACTCTTCAGAGTTGGGAAATGAGCCCTCTCAGCCTTCCTTCTGGCGGGTTGTTGTTTTCTTCTCCTTCTCCTCCTTCTTCGAGGCCTTCTCAGAGGAGAGCCAAACCCGCCGCCCAAAACGGTTTCTTTCCCCCGCAACAAACCAGGAACCTCGCCCTTAAAAAAATGAAGGAAGGAAGGGAGGCCCTTCTTCTTGGCCTTCTTCTTCTTCTTCTCCGCCTGCCTCCCTGCCCGCCTTCCCCTTGCTTAGGCCCGGGCGATTCCCCTCAAGCCCGCCGCCCGGCACATTCACCCAGCCAGCCAGCCAACCAACCCCCGCCACGTGACCGGTTTCCCCCTTTGGCCTCCCTCGGGTCATGTGACCGCCCAGGCGCCGCCGCTTCCGGGAAAAGGGAGGACACCACGTGAGACAGAGCGGCCCCCCCCTCCTCGCGGTCATGTGACCGGATTCCCCAGGTCACATGGGAGGAAGAGGGGTTTGGCCACGCCCAGCCAGGCCTTTGGGATTGGGCCCAGCGGGTGTTTCCAAGGCCTTTCAAGGACCTCATTCATTGCTTTATCTTATTTATTTACGACATTTATATGCAGCCCTTCTCACCCCGAAGGGGACTCAGAGCAGCTTACAAGATATATATACATACAATATGTTATATTATTAGCATAGTATATATATATATACACACACACACACATATATACATATCTATCTATATCTATATATCTATCTATATATATATACACACATACATCTACATATATACATACACACACACACACACATATATATTGTAGTTGGAGTTCACCTATATCCAGAGAGCACTGTGGACTCAAACAATGATGGATCTGGACCAAACTTGGCATGAATACTCCATATGCCCAAATATGAACACTGGTGGAGTTTGGGGAAAACATTTGGTCTGACCCAGCGCCGCAGGGAGTCATGGCTCTCTTGATGCAGGGAGAACTATAACTCCCATTTCAGAGTCAATCTCCCCCTCAAACCCTTCAAGTTTGAATTTGACTGGAATGCCGGGGGGGGGGGGGGGGGGAGGTTGCTCTGAATGTGGGAGCCATCTTGAAAAATAAATACATAAATACAGGCATGCAATAAATACTTACGGTACATATTTTCACTTTTATATATAGATATAGACACATGTAGACTCCAAAACACATGGAGGGCTGAAGTTTGCCCGTGCCTAGCCTACAAGGAGGGCCAAAAGTCAGAATAAATCAGTCTAATAATAATCTTTATTTATATCCTGCTTTTCTCTCACAAAGGTACCCGAAACGGCTTCCAACGTATTAAATACAGTACAAAGCAACATCAATTGTACATATACACAAAACATCTATCAGCCCTCCATATCCACGGATTCAAGCTTTCACAAATTGAAAATATTTTAAAGAATCAACAAAAGCAAGCCTTGATGTTGCCCTTTTATATAAGACACACCATTTTACTATGCCACAGTATATAATGGATACCAGAATCCACTGATTTTTGTATCCACGTGGGTCCTAGAACCAAACCCCAGTGGGTATTAAGAGCCCACTGAACTCCTTTCGGCACCTAATACAGGGTGAGGGAGCATCACTTCCTTTTTACAAAACAATAAAACCCATTGTATGAATCAGATTTTTTTTTATAATGTAGGCTTATACCTACACGAAGAGTCGGAGACGACTGAACGAATGAACAACAACATATAAAAGGGCAACGGAGCCCCCGGTGGCGCAGTGGGTTAAAGCACTGAGCTGCTGAGCTTGTTGATCGAAAGGTCGCAGGTTCGATTCCGGGGAGCGGTGTGAGCTTCCGCTGTCAGCCCTAGCTTCTGCCAACCTAGCAGTTCGAAAACATGCAAATGTGAGTAGATCAATAGGTACCGCTCCAGCGGGAAGGTAACGGCGCTACATGCAGTCATGCCGGCCACATGTCCTTGGAGGTGTCTATGGACAACGCTGGCTCTTCGGCTTAGAAATGGAGATGAGCACCACACCCCAGAGTCAGACATGACTGGACTTAATGTCAGGGGACTACCTTTACCTTTACCTTAGGCTTATACCTAAAGTTTTGTTTTACATAGTTTTGAAGATCAAATTAGGTAGGTGAGGTCCCCCATTCTCCATACACTGAGTAAACCGATTTCTGGTTTTTGTCATGACTCTTGCCAGCATAGCAGTTGTTATGTTGGCAATGTCTTCCTGGATGTCGGTCTTCAAATCTTGTAGGGTCCTTGGACGGTTCACATAAACACGGGATTTCAAAAAAACCCAAAGAAAAAAAATCACAAGGGGCCAAATCTGGAGAGCAGTCCAGCCACTCCAAATCCGCTCGAAAAGTAGGCCTCAATGGCAAAAGTATGCTCCTCACTGTTCCAACGCATGATGGTGACTGAACTGTGTCAGGACAAAACTTTATACCCCCATCTCTCGAACGAGACCACTAGGGCTCCGCTACGTCTTCAACCGACTGAATGCCGTGCATTTTAAAAAAGGAAGTTATGCTGCCTCACCCTGTAGTAGCTAAGGTGGTTATATTTTGCCCACATAAAGGGACCTTAAAGACATTTTAAAGGCAAACTATTGGCTTAATGTCAGCAGGAATTAACAGTTTGATAGAACTAGACTTGGTTCTCTACCCAAAACACTGAAATAACTTTCTCTGAGGCCATTCCAAACTATTTCTCACCTTAGAAGGTGCTAAGTTCCCACCCATATTGTTTTATCCAGCAGTAATGGAAAAGGGTTGGTGGTGGTTCCTCCCAACGTAGAATTTGGGAAAACCGAAATTACTAAGCAAGCATGCCTACATGTTCAGCCTATTCACCTCCTTTTGAAAGAGACGACACTAGATTGCACCGGGATTGTGGCGCAGCTGGCTGTCAGCTGCATTAAGATCACTCTGACCAGAAGGTCATGAGTTCGAAGCTAGCCCAGGTCAGAGTGAGCTTCTGGCCAATTTTGCGTAGCTTGTTGTTGACCTTTGCAACCCGAAAGACAGTTGCATCTGTCAAGTAGGAAAATTAGGTACCACCTATGTGTGGGGAGGCTAATTAACTAATTTATGAGGCTATAAAAAGACTCCAGCAAAAAGCACTCCAGCAAAAGCATGCGGGGAATGCGGAAGTACTTCATCTTTGTCGCAGATGGATAGTGAAAGCAACAGCTCCCCAGGCGGCCAGAAAAGTTAAATAGCCTCTGACTGTCTGTCTATATCTGTTGTGTGTCTTTGGCATTGAATGTTTGCCATATATGTGTACATTGTAATCCGCCCTGAGTCCCCTGCGGGGTGAGAAGGGCAGAATATAAATACTGAAAATAAATAATAAATAAATAGAAACAGAAGTATAGGGCAGCTGCTGAACGGATGTGCAACTCACATGCTGCTATCTACGTAATCAAGGAAAACATTTATGGATATACTTGGCGGGTACACTACCTTGTAGAAGCATATACATATTCCTCTTTTGACTTCTCCACAATTTGTTGTCGCAACCTGAACATTAAATTGATTACTTTGTCACTGTTTCCACCTGATTTCCCTGTAACTAAATATATCTTGCAGCTTGCTATGTTGAGAATACTGCAAACACCCAGTGGTTAACAACAGCAATTAAATTTCAATTTTAAGTACTAAAATAACAAAATGTGGAAAGCTTGGGGGAGAGAAATAATGCTTTAAAGCACTATAGATGCCAGTACAGGTATGGGAAATCCCTTGAGAAAGTATCTCTATGCCTCCCTTGTTAGAAATATTAAAACTTTTAAATATTTTTTAATTACAAATATGTGAGTCAAGCATTGAAAGGGTTAGATAGATGTAACGACTCAGCAAAAGCTGCAGTTCTATATAAGCAGGTGTGCCTATAGCTTAGTAGCCGTCAGTTTGAGGTAAACCTCAGTGGGAGAAAGATTTGTCTGTGAGAAGGTCTCTCTGTGTGAGTGAACACCTCAGTGGGAGAATAGATCTCAGTGGTAGTAGGCCTCACTGTGGGAGAAAGGCCTCAGAGTATGAAGTAGGCCTCATTAGGAGAAAGCCTTGTGTGTGAAGCTCCAGTGTGAAGATTGAACTTTGTGTCATGGAAACCTTGTTGTAAATAGTGCAACCATATTATTTTGCTATAAAGAAAAGCCTCCTAAGGAAGAGATAACATGGGTCTGTGTGTTTTTGTTCTTTTTATCACTTTGGGCTACTGGTGCTGGGTCACGCTGCTGCTAATAAATTACTCTGCATTTATGAGGGTCTTTCATTAATAAGCCCACTCGCTCAACATTCCTCTCTTTCATACAAAAAATCAGACAACACAACATATTTTTTAAAGCAGGAACCTTTATTACAATAATTTAATAGAAAAAAACCCACAATTTAAAATAAATTATGCAAATACAAAAAAAGTTACAATAATTAATGCAAGATTACCTCCTCCAGGGAGGGGAGGATATACAGAACGAAAGAAAAAAACAACAACAAAGAGGGGAGAGGAAAAAGAACACCTTCTCCCTTGCAAAAATATCTTTACGCGTACTTCATTTTTATAAATGCAACGGTTCATTACAAGCTCACCTTCCCTCCTCTTCCCCCATCCCAACACCACCGAAGAAAGGGCTCAGAGGGATGTTGGTATCCCTATGTTACACTTTGCATAATGTGGTGTGAAGATGCGTACCCTTCCCTCTGTAGAACAAAGGGACTGAAAGCATTTGAAGGCGAGGACAGGAGAAAATAATATTCTGATGACAGATGAGGATAAATAAGGGAATCAGAAATCTGTACCTGAATCTTGCACTATGTTGTGCAGGAGAAGGGCAGCAATCGTTTTGACTGTATTATGTTGTTTGGATGGATGCCTACTAAATGGGGTTTTTGAAACACCTGAAGTATTTTGAAGCACTGGATGTCATAGTATATGCACTAAGTCAGGTGTGGGCAAACTTGGGCTCTCAAGATGTTTTGGACTTCAACTCCCACCATTCCTAACAGTCGCTGAGGGGGAAAAGGAAAGGGCCTGAGGCTGTTAGGAATGGTGGGAGTTGAAGTCCAAAACACTTGGAGGGCCCAAGTTTGCCCATGCCTGCAATAAGTGGGTGATGGATCCAGATGGATTCGGATTGCAAGACACACACTTAAAGAGACCTTGTCAAACTGGGTTTTTTTATTCAGAGGGGAAAAATAGCTGTGAACAGCTCCAGAACTTCCCTCACGAGAGAAGAACAGGCAAAATAAGGAAACTGGTTTCAGGAATGAATACCAACTGTTCTAATGAGAGGGCCAATATGCAAACTTTCTTTTGAATTATTCTAAACTGGATTTATTCATCCGGGTGTAAAGGCAACTAAACACAGTTTAAAATAATCTACCCTAAAAATACTCATGGATTTGTAACCGAATGTATTCCATTGTAGTTATTCCATTGCAAATTAGCCCACTGTAAACTTTTTAAAGGCATGTAGTCACAGCTTTAACCAGAACATTTCAAGTACCTTTAAATACAGATTTTTCCCTTCATACAGGTGATGTAACGGAACCAGGTAAACAATTTAAGAAAGTGGGTTGCTGCGAGTTTTCCAGGCTCTATGGTCATGTTCCAGCAGCATTCTCTCCTAATGTTTTCCCACATCTATGGCAGGCATCCTCAGAGGCAACCTGCCATAGATGTGGGCAAAACGTCATGGGAGAATGCTTCTGGAACATGGCCATACAGTCCGGACAACGCACAGCAACCTGGTGATTCCGGCTATGAAAGCCTTTGACAACACAACTTAGGAAAGGGTGGTGTATTCAGAATAAAACCTGTTGTAAGGTAAGGACAGAAGATCAAAGAGATCAGACACTGTGAACTGAGGAATTAAGAATTTATATGTACCTGTGGGGCTTGTGTGTGTGGACATATATACACATACCAACCTAAGCAACTTCTTGCCTTTGACTTCTGAAAAAGAAAACAATAACAGGTCAAGGTACTGTACATTATTTAGCTGAGATTAATCAAACCTTTGATTAATATGCATTACCTCAACACAGCTATTTTACATTGGAGTTGTTTCAAGGATCATAAGTTAAGAGCCAAGAGGTCTCCGTTCTAAAAGAAAGATATTATGAGTCACAGGAAGAAAGGGCCACAGCCCAGTTTGGAGTAGAATATAGAAGATTATGAGGCCAGGAAAGGTTCAGAACAAAAACAAGTGGAAAGTCAAAAGCGTTAAGACTCAAATGTAAAGGATACATCAATAACCGAAAAAGACATGACAGTAAAATAGAAAGTGGGTCCAGTTATGAACTGTTACAATAAAGGTAAGAAAGCGGATTTGGGTTGGTTATGAAGTCAACGAACAATAGAAAGAGAAAAGGGATTGAAAAGAAGTGAATACCACTGAGAAGACCTTGCGAGGAAAGGCTTGGCACTGAATGGATGGAGTAATGAAGGTACCAGGAATGAGGAAGGATCAGTCTTTGAAAACTGTTTGGTGGCCATGAGGGCGCTCATCGTGCATGATGTGTCGACGGACATGGATGCGTCGGACACGGTGCTCTCGTCCGTCTTCGTCATCACCGGCACGGAGGGGGCCCCCACCTCCGCCAGCCACCCCGCCAGTTGCCTCCAGGAGGGCTCTGTCTGGCACTCGCGGCGTCTCGTAAATGAGGATGTTCAGGGTTTCCTCAAAGATCCGGGCTTCTGGGAACTCTACCTGTGCACACGGGGGAAACAACATTACATTGACTCTCATGGTCCTCTCCACCAACTGGAAGGCAGACAGTGTGGGCAAAGAGTTCAGCTTCAACAAAGAATACCAGATTCAAATCTTGATACTGATATAAATTCAGTAGGAATTTCAGTAGGAAATTCCAAGAGATGGCCCCCTACAAAGGTCTTCCTCCAGGGGCAAACCAAGAATGGGCAACTTGGAAATCCCCGAACAGACTATGAAGTGGAGTGGGAAGATCAAAAGACAACAAGGCAAAATGGCACTACCTAGAAGAATCCTCCACCTTGTGCAACTATGGAGCAGAACAAACAACTGGTCATCTGTATGCTTGCCCACAATGCCCTGCCTCATGCACAGAGGAAGAACTGTTTAAAGCTATAGACAATGTGGTCACTGTTACCTGTTTTTGGTCTAAAATTATTTAGCTGCTTGTGCTCCCTTTATTTTATCAGTTTTATACTTATTTACTCTGCTGGACTAGCCACGTTGTCCAAATGCCCGATCACTGTCTCCTAAAGCAGTTACTCTACTCCCAACTCAAGAATGGAAAACAGAATGCTGGTGGACAGAAAAATAGATTTAAAGATGGGCTTAAAGCTAAACTTAAAAACTGTGGCATGGACATCGGGAACTGGGAAGCCCTAGCTCTTGAGTGCTCTACCAGGAGGTCAGCTGTGACCAGCAGTGCTGTGGAATTTGAAGGGGCATGAATGGATGTCAAAAGGGAGAAATGTGCCAAGGGGAAGGTGTGTCAAGCCAACCCTGACTGGAACCGCCTTCTACCTGGAAACCAATGTCCTCACTGTGGAAGAACATGTGGGTCAAGAATTGGGCTCTACAGTCCCTTACATATCCACCTCCAAGAACCTACACTTGGAAGGCATCATACTCAGACTACAAGGGATTGCCTAAGTAAGTATTTATTTATGCAATGCTTTTGACATAAAATAAACAAATCATTGATGGAAAGATATACTTTTTCGGTGCAGGCTCAAGAAGAGGAAAGGGCCTGTACGTTTTCCCTACTAATTATGCTCTGAAAACTGATGCAGTGGGGATCTGTCACCTATTGACTGAAGGTGCTACATAAAGGCTCATTGGCTCAACCGCAGCCTCTTTTATTGTTACCTACCATTATGATTGTAAGTTCATTTAAAATAGGGTGCATGATTGTTCTTTTACACCCCAACAGGACAAACAAAAAGCACACTGTCCATATTTGTTTGCATGGGACAAAATTTGGCAAAACTCACATCATCTAAGTGGGGTGTGTAGTCATATACAGAATCAATTATTTCAGCTTAAGTACCTCTGCTAGCATAGTTACTGAACAAAATAAACATTAATAGGTTGCTCAAACCTAGGATCCTGTCCCAGGTAGGATACAACGAGCAAGAATAAATTGGTTTGCAAACTAGAGACCCTTCCACACACTATCCACTTTGAACTGGAATGTATGGCTGTGTAGACTCAGATAATCCAGTTCAAAGCAGATATTGTGAGATTTTCTGCCTCGATATTCTTGGTTATATGGCTGTGTGGAAGGTCCCCAGATTTGGAAAAGAGCAATAGATTGTGATCCCAGATTCACATAATGCACTAAAACAGTGGTTCTCAACCTGGGGTCCCCAGATGTTTTTGGCCTTCAACTCCCAGAAATCCTAACAGCTGCTAAACTGGCTGGGATTTCTGGGAATTGTAGGCCAAAAACATCTGGGGTTGAGAACCACTGCACTAAAAAGTTATCTTATATCCAACTGTAGGAGGAGTCAAGTGGGAAAAAAGGACTGAATGTACTAGCATGTATTAATGGTTTGTCAGGATTCCTCTGAACCTTCACTTACAGTTACATATGAATGCAGCTAAGACAGCTCAGGGAACGGAAGACTTGTATTCAGAATACAGAAGACTGCCTGCGACTTACCTTGGTCTGCTTCTTCTCCGTAGCATAGACAATGGAGGTGCAGCAGACTTCTGCGATCTTACGGCCCTGACCATAAAAGGACCAGCAGCAAATCTCATCTCCGAGAACATCTTTGATGAAGAGCACCCTTCCATTGAACCGCAAAGCTAATTTGTCAAATAGTTCAATATTCTTCAGTAAGTTGTCATCAGAGTTACTGGAAGGGGAGGGAAGGAAGAGAAAAAATGGTGGTGTGGCATCTTCACAATCCTAGCAAAAAAGTGAGAGTATTTGCTCAGGGCAAATGTGTGTGGTATGAGGCCAAGTTACACTCAATCTAAACAGTAAAACATGATAGGCTTTACCTTGTATAGGAATACTTGTTATTACTTCTATTATGCAGTAACTTCACCACAGGCTAAAAAAGAAAGAAAATGGTTAATTAAAATACAATAGAAACCTTAGGAAAAAACTAATGTAATCATTGCTTTTTGACCTGTTGTTTCAAGACTAACTAATTGTCTAGGTAACTGCTTGTCTTTGCCATCAGCTGATACACAGTCACATCACAGGATAGTCACAAACATTCTGACTTTCAGGACTCCATGTAAGGCTTATTTCACATTTTAAGGCCACTACATGGAAGGTACTTAAAAATAATTTCCATGTAAAAATCAAACCATGTGCCAAGTTAATAATGTACAACAACTTAACATATCCATGTACTTCTGTCTCCCTAACTGCAAGAAATCTCTGTAAGGCAATTCTTCAATGTGCCTCTGGTTACAAAATATCAATAATCAATGCAGCTGTTTTTAGACAATGACAGCTATGCGAACAGGAGAACAAATACAGATGTCTTAGGGCTAAGACTGTGTGCATTAACTGGCGATTAGTAATTAATTACGCTGGCCTGGAACAAAGGAAGTGGTGGCCCAATGCACTTGGAAGACAGTAGGTTGGGAAATCTGTACTACAAGTTAGTAAACAAGGATATCGATAATCATGGGGATAGTTTCCCATGCTACTGGCATTTCTTCCCTGATCCTACTCAAGAGAACAACCATCTGAACTGCCTAGTGGCCTGATCAATAACAAGATCTGGTGATTTCTGTTGGGCAAGTGGGCTTATTAACAAACGACCCTCCCCATGCTTTAAAAAAAATATGTCATATTTTCTGATTTTTTTCTATGAAAGAGAGGGATGTTGAGCTAGTGAGCTTATTAACAAAAGACTCTCCTCATAAATGCACAGCAGAGTAACTTATTAGCAGCAACGTGACCCACCACCAGTAGCCCAAAGTGATAAAAAGAACAAAAACACACAGACCAATGTTATCTCTTCCATAAGAGGCTTTTCTTTGTAGTAAAATAATATAGTTGCACTATTTACAATAACAAGGTTTCCACAACACAAATAAAATATTTTCTACTTCTTCCTTTGATTCCTTGTTTGTTTATTTATTAGTAGGCTTTGGCCTACTCACTCTCCTCAGGAAAACACTAGGTTTGGCCCACCAACTCAAACAGGCTTCGGTCTACTAACTCTTTCAGTGCTTGACTCAAACTTTTGTAATAAAAAAATACCCAGTTGATTTTTAATATTTCTGACAATTTCAACACTTCTTTACCTTGGAACAGCTTGAGATTATCTGCTGCTCCTCCTTGGGTGATGTTATCATGGGGATGTGGCAGAGTGGGTCAAAAGCTTCACTCTTTTGCTGGGTAGAAAAAAGATAAGAGAGAGGGAGAGTGAATCGGTTTTATTAGATGCCCCCAAAGCTACTGAGCATTACTGACTAAAGATGTTTATATGCCATCTTTCACCAACATCTTCAAAGCAGTTCACAATATTATAAGCAATGGCATACATCAAAGAAAAGGGGTAAGAGCGTAGAAAGAAAAATACAAGCACATCATTATTAAAACAACCAGATGGAATGTTTACAGAAATTCTGGAGCAGTGGAGCTGGAAGACAGTTGGGCCCAGTTAAGCCAAGAGAACTGAGGCCTTACTGCTCACTTCTCCTGCAAAAATTTTCCACTTGTTTCAAAATACATGTACTTTTCAGTTTCTGAGCAGGGAGCCACTTACCTGTAGGGCAAGCTGGCAGTCCTCAACCAAACCTTGTATCAGGTAATACCGGGCTTCAGAGAGGACTTCTTCCAACTCCCGCTGGGACTCTGGAAGGGATACTGAGCCATCTCTCAAGTAATTCAAGATGGTACCAAAATGGCGTCCACTTCGGTCAATCAAGATCCACCCTAAAAAAGCAGAACTGATTTAACAATAACTTAATAACTTGATCTATATCCCACCCCATCTTCCCAAAAGGACTTGGGGCGGCTTACAAGGTAGCGCAGTGCAAAACAGAATACACAAAAAATAACCAAAATCAGTAGCAGCACCAAGTAACATAAAATTAAACAAACAGGTGTAAATGAAATAACAATAAGGCAGACTATTTCAAGAACAATCTATTTCTGGATACTTTCCCTTGATACATTAAACCTGCCCTTTCCTTATGCAGTATAATGGGTGTTCTCAGCTTACAAAACGACAGAAGAATATTAAGCAGTGTCATTTTGACAGAGGTGAAGCCAAGTCCTGCCACTAAAACCATTAGCACCAAATGCATGAAGGATAACAGAAATGCAAAAGGTGATAGCATCTGGTGAGGAGACAAATACAGATATTGACAGCGGTCGGTCATTAAGAAAAGAAAATAGATGGGTGAGAGCTAGCATGTGTAGAAGTTTAGGTGCTGAATGGGGATGAACAAAGCTCAAATCCCTGCTGAGCCATGGAAACCCCCCAGATGACCTTGGACAAGTCACACTCTCTCAGCATCAGGATAAGGCAAAGGCAAAAATCCTCTGAACAAATTCTGCCAAGAAAGCCCAACAATACATTTTCCTTAAGGCTGCTATAGTTAGAAATAATTTGAAGACACACAGCAAAGCTAAACAGATCCAAGTACAGTATCAGTTAAACCCAAGTATATCCAACTCATGTATGGTAGGAAAAATGTTTTTGTCCAAACTCAGTGAAAGGGCACAGTTGACCTACAGGTCCCCAGTCAGTGGTAGAGGTAAAAACTATTAAAATAAATTATTCAAACATGCAACAGTATCTTAATGCAGTACAGAAAAAAGGGAACCATAACACCATCAAAATGGTGGAAGGTTGCCTGTCAATCTGACAGCCTGCATGTAAGTGGGGGACAGACTGTGAGAAAGCTTACAAACAAACCTTCGCTATCTGTGAGCACCTCCATCCGGCCGCTGAACATTGCCTTGAGCATAGTGTCTTGTTTGGTGAGGGTTTGCACGGTGGTGTAATGCAGGGACCCTCCGACGTTCAGCTTGACATACTTGCTGCTGGGGTTCAGGGGCTTGAGGTCAAAGGTCACGCCGGCTACCCCTCCGCCGCCATCCCGTCGTTGCTGGGTTGGGACCAGGGGTGCGCAATTCTCCAGGGAGGAGGCCTGGTCTGCGGTGGCTTCAGCTGACATAGCCACCTGAACAAAAGAGTAAATTTAACAGAGAAATGATGAAACACTATGTTTCCCGCAGAGCTCAGATTTGACTGTTTTGGGCAGGAATGCAGAATGTGTCACTTTCTAGATGTTGTCAGAATGCAATTTCCATCATTCAGCATCACTAGTGCTGTGCCGATGGCTGTTATTTTAGATCAGACATGGGCAAACTTTGTCCCTCCAGGTGTTTTGGACTTCAACTCCCACAATTCCTAACAGCCAGTAGGGACAAAGTCAGTCTGTCTGTCTGTCTATCTATCTAAAACAGGCATGGGCAAACTTTGCTCCTACCAGCTGTTAGGAATTGTGGGAGTTGAAGTCCAAAACACCTGGAGGGACAAAGTTTGCCCATGCCTGTTTTAGATAGATAGATAGATAGATAGATAGATTCCTAACAGCTAGGAGGGGCAAAGTCAGTCTATCTGTCTGTCTGTCTGTCTGTCTGTCTGTCTATCTATCTATCTATCTATCTATCTATCTATCTATCTATCTATCTATCTAAAATAGACATGGGTAAACTTTGCTCCTCCCAGCTGTTAGGAATTGTGGGAATTGAAATCCAAAACACCTGGAGGGACAAAGTTTGCCAATGCCTGTTTTAGATAGATAGATAAAGATAGATAGATAGATAGATAGATAGATAGATAGATAGATAGATTCCTAACAGCTAGTAGGGGCAAAGTCAGTCTATCTATCTGTCTGTCTGTCTGTCTGTCTATCTATCTATCTATTTAAAACAGGCATGGGTAAATTTTGCTCTTACCAGCTGTTAGGAATTGTGGGAATTGAAGTCCAAAACACCTGGAGGGACAAAGTTTGCCAATACCTTTTAGATAGATAGGCAGGCAGGCAGGCAGGCAGGCGATACCCTGCTTTTCTCTCAGGACTTATACCCAAAGCAATGGCAATTCAGTAACATTTAGAGAGTGAGTCAGAACCAGGAAAGTTAATTTTAAAAATTGTTTTAATTCCTTATTGCCCACTGCTGTTACTCATTACAGCGTTAAAGAGCAAGTCATGCCTACTGTATTTATTGTTTCATTTCTATTGCTTTCTTAACTCACTATGAGAGGAAAGGCTTTTAAGACCAATAAAGATACAGCAAATAATCTGGAGAAAAATGTCAAAATGTTACTAAGGCCCTTCCACACAGTTGTATAAAACCTCACATTATCTGCTTTTAACTGGGTTATATGGCAGTGTGGACTCAGATAACCCAGTTCAACGCAAATATTGTGGATTATCCACCTTATATGGCTGTGTGGAAGGGTCCTAACAGTTATTTTTCAGAGTAACTGTGAACTGTTCTGCATTAAACTATTTTCTGAACCCTTGTTGCTCTGAAAGTAACTTGTTCACCTGTTAGTTCCAAGCTCTGTGACCACATACTTCTCAATTTATTTAGAGCATCAGAAAATTTCTGCCTCAGAAAAAAACCAAAAACAAAAGTTTTGTCCCTTTCTGCAGAAAAAAACACTCTGCAAACCTTCAAGCCAATTTCAAAAAAAATTCTGTCCCCCACTGCCACCAGATTCACACTGCGCCCAACACTTCCACTTCTTCAATGACATCCCATCCTGGACCTGTCTGCTCATCACCAGTTGTAGGTCTTCTATAGGAAAGGGGGTAAACTTCAGGCTTGTGAGTTTTCTTTGATTTTTACTAGAATCTGGAGGTCCGTTTACCAAAATCAGGTGAAAAATGTCACTTCTGGCATGTACTTATACTAATAGTTAAAAATTAGAGTGGCTCTGAATATATTCTTCCTCCAGAACCAAGGCTACATGTTCTCTGTCACACACAAAAATGCATTCCTGGCTTTCTCTTGAATATTCTAAGACTTATTTATGTATATTCTTCTTAGACAATAAGGGATCAGAAACCCATTTGAAAATGCTGAAAAATTACCCAGAGATCTACTAACACATCCCAATTCACCTTCTGTCTGACTGGCACATTCCTGCTATTCCTAGCAGGAAATGGGAGATTTACACTCATCTTTGTGTCCAATGCCCTTTGGCTCAACAAACCTGCCTCAGGCTATTGTTTCCTCCTATTGCCTCACCTTTACCCATCCCTGATGCAACCACACTGGGAATTAGTCCTGACATTTCCATGTCTTCATCTATCAACCACCTGCAAGCTGGGTTGTTGTATTTTTTTTCGGGCTATATGGCCATGTTCTAGAGGCATTCTCTCCTGAAGTTTCGCCTGCATCTATGGCAAGCATCCTCAGAGGTAGTGAGGTCTGTTGGAACTAAGAAAATGGGTTTAAATATCTGTGGAAAGACCAGGGTGGGACAAAGAACTCTTGCCTGCTGGAGCTAGGTGTGAATGTTTCAACTGACCACCTTGATTAGCATTTGATAGCCTAGCAGTGCCTGGGGCAATCTTTTGTTGAGGGGTGATTAAATGTCACTGGGTTGTTGTAGGTTTTTCAGGGCTATATGGCCATGTTCTAGAGGCATTCTCTCCTGATGTTTCGCCTGCATCTATGGCAAACATCCTCAGAGGTAGTGAGGTCTGTTGGAACTAGGAAAAAGGTGTTATATATCTGTGGAATGACCAGGGTGAGACAAAGGACTCTTGTCTGCTGGAGCTAGGTGTGAATGTTTCAACTGACCACCTTGATTAGCATACAATGGCCTGACTGTGCCTGGGGCAAACTTTTGTTGAGAGATAATTATATGTCCCTGCCTCTTCCTCTCTGTTGTTGTGCTGTTGCAATGTTGTGCTGTGGCTGACTTTCTTGGTGGCTCTGTAGATAGTTTGTATGTTGTCCCTGATTGTTTTCCCTCTACTGTTTTGCTGTTTTAATTTTAGAGTTTTTATACTGGTAGCCAGATTTTGTTCATTTTCATGGTTTCCTCCTTTCTGTTGAAATTGTCCACATGCTTGTGGATTTCAATGGCTTCTCTGTAGTCTGACATGGTGGTTGTGAGAGTGGTCCAGCATTTCTGTGTTCTCAAATAATATGCTGTGTCCAGGTTGGTTCATCAGGTGCTCTGCTATGGCTGATTTCTCTGGTTGAAGTAGTCTGCAGTGCCTTCATGTTCCTTGATTTGTGTTTGGGCAATGCTGCTGCGTTTGGTGGTCCCTATGTCTTGTCCACAGCTGCATGGTATACGGTAGACTCCCGCAGAGGTGAGAGGATCCCTCTTGTCCTTTGCTGAACTGAGCATTTGTTGGATTTTCTTGGTGGGTCTGTAGATAGTTAGTATGTTGTGTTTCCTCATCAGCTTCCCTATGCGGTCAGTGGTTCCCTTGATGTATGGCAGGAACACTTTTCCTCTGGGTGGATCTTCATCTTGACTCTCGTGGCTTGTTCTTGGTCTTGCAGCTTGATCATTTTAGTCGCCCTCCTCTGGACACATTGCAGCTTGTCAATATCTCTCTTGAATTGTGGTGCCCAGAATTGGACACAATATTCCAGGTGTGGTCTAACCAAGAGGAGAATAGAGGGTAGCATGACTTCCCTGGATCTAGACACTATACTCCTATTGATGCAGGCCAAAATCCCATTGGCTTTTTTTGCCGCCACATGACATTGTTGGCTCATGTTTAACCAGGCGAAACGTCAGGAGAGAATGCCTCTAGAACCGTGATGGTGAACCTATGACACTTGTGTCAGCACTGACACGCATGGCTATTTTTGATGACATGCAGACACAGAGAAGTACACCTTATAAGAACTAAATTAATTCCATCCTTAAATTTGTAAAAGGCTCTACAAATTTAACATCTGCACATTTGAGCATTGCTCACTCCATAACTCAGCATGGATTATACATTTTTCTTATTTAAACTATAAATATTGCCATGTTTTTTCTTGAAGTTACACCCCACCCAAGTTATGCTCAGGTTTTTGGCGAATTTTGACACACCAACCGCAAAAGGTTGTCCATCACTGGCTTAGCCGCTACTCTTTGCCTTGTCTTCCTTTTCAATGTATTGTCGAAGGCTTTCATGGCTGGAATCACTAGGTTCTTGTGGGGTTTTTCGGGCTATAGGGCCATGTTCTAGAGGCATTTCTCCTGACGTTTCGCCTGCATCTATGGCAAGCCCGAAACTCTGAGGATGCTTGCCATAGATGCAGGCGAAACGTCAGGAGAAATGCCACTAGAACATGGCCATATAGCCCGAAAAAACCCACAAGAACCTAGTGGTTCCAGCCATGAAAGCCTTCGACAATATGTTGCTTCAACTCTTTCTAGATACATAGCCTTGAGGAATGAAGCACAGCAAGTGCATGTTTGGTTGCATCTACCCTGTAAAATTAATGGCAATTTACCCCACTTTAACCACCAAAGCTCAATGCTGTGGAATCCTGGGAGTTGTAGTTTGCTGCACTCTTTGGCAGAGAAGGCTAAACACCTTGTAAAACTCCATAGCATTGAGCCAAGACAGTTAATGTGATGTCAAATGGTGTAGATGCAGCCTTTGTGTATGTTTAAGTGGCTGAGGGGGAAAAGGAAGGGTCCTGAGGCTGTTAGGAATGGTGGGAGTTGGAATCCAAAACAACTACAAGGCCCAAGTTTGCTCATGACAGTTAAGGTGGTGTCAAACCGCATTCACTCTACAATGTGGATGTGAGGGCTGCCCTCATCCCAACCAAGGCTTCTCTCTCTTTTCCTGTCTCCCTCCTTCTCTTTCTTGGCTTCCCAACCTGAGGCCACTTCCTGCCCTTCGACCTCCGGCCCAGAGTCCGTCCCCCGCCGACGAGGCCCACTCACCTCCAGCCCCGCCTGGATTCAAGGCCTAGCGACCAGCCTCAGAGACGTCCAAGCCCCTGAGGGAAGAAAGGAGAGGAGGAGAGAGGCCACGGCGCATGCGCGGACTTCCCCGCCTTCTCCCTCCCCTAGGGGTCTCTCTCTCTGTGGAGAACGTGAGCAGCTACATCCGGGTACCGCCCGTGTGAAGCAACACACGAGAGTATTGAAAAGGGAAAGAGGCAGGAGGAGAGAACGGCGCATGCGCAGAACCTTTTTTTTTTACAGCAAGGGAAAGGTAACGGAACGCAATGGGGACCAATATTGTTTCAGGGCGCATGCGCTGGAGGTAATGAGAACTTCTTGTGTTGTGTAACAGGCAATATTCTATAGAGCAGGCCTTGGGCAAACTTGGGCCCTGCAGGTGTTTTGGACCTTCAACTCCCACAATTCCTAACAGTTTAATAAAAATAATAACAGCCAAATAATAATAATATTTTTTTATTTATACACTGCCCTATCTCCCTATCTCCAAGCCACCTTGTCTCTCTCCTGAGGAATCTGTACAAGGACCAAGTCGCAACAGTCAGAACTGACCACGGAACAACAGACTGGTTCAAGATTGGGAAAGGCGTATGGAAAGGCTGCATACTCTCACCCAACCTTTTTAACTTGTATGCAGAACACATCATGCGATGTGCGGGGCTTGATGAATGCAAAGCTGCGGTGAAAATTGCTGGAAGAAACATTAACAACCTCAGATATGCAGATGACACCACTCTGATGGCCGAAAGCGAGGAGGAGCTGAGGAGCCTTCTAATCAAGGTGAAAGAAGAAAGCGCAAAAGCTGGGTTGCAGCTAAACATCAAAAAAACCAAGAATTATGGCAACAAGAATGATTGACAACTGGGAAATACAGGGAGAAAATGTGGAGGCCGTGACAGACTTTGTATTTCTAGGCGCAAAGATTGCTACAGATGCAGACTGTAGCCAGGAAATCAGAAGACGCTTCCTTCTTGGGAGGAGAGTAATGTCCAATCTCATAAAATAGTAAAGAGTAGAGACATCAGACTGGCAACAAAGATCCGCCTAGTCAAAGCCATGGTATTCCCTGTAGTCACCTACGGATGTGAGAGCTGGACCTTAGGGAAGGCTGAGCGAAGGAAGATCGATGCTTTTGAGCTGTCGTGTTGGAGGAAAGTTCTGAGAGTGCCTTGGACTGCGAGAAGATCCAACCAGTCCATCCTCCAGGAAATAAAGCCCGACTGCTCATTGGAGGGAAGGATACTAGAGACAAAGTTGAAGTACTTTGGCCACATCATGAGGAGACAGCAAAGCCTAGAGAAGACAATGATGCTGGGGAAAATGGAAGGGAAAAGAAAGAGGGGCCGACCAAGGGCAAGATGGATGGATGGCATCCTTGAAGTGACTGGACTGACCTTGAAGGAGCTGGGGGTGGTGACGGCCGACAGGGAGCTCTGGCATGGGCTGGTCCATGAGGTCACGAAGAGTCGGAGACGACTGAACAAATGAACAACAACAAATCTCCCTAAAGGGACTGACAGCAGTTTCCAACAAATATGGCAATCATTCAATGCCAAAAGAAAAGCCATACAAACAGTTTACACCAGGACAAGACACATTAGACAATCTAAAACAACATAACTATAACTTAATAATCAAAATAGCAAAAAAGCCCCATAAAATAAAATAAAAATACGATTATTTTTGTTACCTGTCTCTCCTAATGGCCCGAGACAGGATACAAGAGTCAAAACATATGACCATAAACTACATACAATTAAATAAATAAATAAATAAATAATAATAGATAAAACCATATAATTTAAAAACATGCAGTCAAGAATGACGTCCCCCCTCCCCGAAAAAAATATTTTATACTCGAGGAACTTAATAGTCAGGCTGGAATGATATGAGTTAAGTTTTGGCCACTTTGCAAAAGGACTAATAACAACAAAGACCCTTCCCATGTTAGATAGCGTATACATTTAATCAAGGATTTATGTCCTATATTTCATATATTTATAATGGAAGGTACTATTGTTATGATTTTATTGATGTTAACGTTTTTATATTGTAATTGTGTTTTTGGTGGCATTGAATTTTGCCTTGTAAACCGCCTCGAGTCACTGGAATGCTGAGAGGGGCAGTATACAAATACAGTAAATAAATAAACAAATAAAATTTACTGGAAACTATGTCACAAAAGGTATTTGACCTTTGCTCATCCTGAGCCAAGAATTAACAACTCAAGCAAAATAATTCCAAGGCCTTTGTCTAAGGCTGGTCTGAGGAAAATTTACATTTCTACGCTTTAGGCTAGGGGGATATATTTACCCAGCCCTCACTCAGGGTCAACCTAAGTCTGAAACGACTTGAAAGCACACAACAATCCTATCTCATCAGCCAAAATCAGACCCACACTTCCCATTGAAATACTAATAAGTTTATATTTGTTAAAATTGTTCTTCATTTTAATTATCATATTGTTTTAAGTGTTTTTTGCACTATAAATAAGACTCCTGTTCAACCCCACAACCTTTGTCTTGTGGGGTTCCTCAGGGCTCAATACTGTCTCCCATGTTGTTCAACATCTACATGAAGCCGCTGGGGGAGATCATCCGGAGTTTCGGGGTACGGTGTCATCTGTACACGGATGATGTCCAACTCTGTCACTCCTTTCCACCTGCTACTAAGGAGGCTGTCCAGGTCCTGAACCGGTGCTTGGCCGCTGTGACGGTCTGGATGAGGGCGAACAAATTGAAATTGAATCCAGACAAGACAGAAGTACTCCTGGTCAGTTGCAAGGCCGAACAGGGTATAGGGTTACAGCCTGTGTTGGACGGGGTTACACTCCCCCTGAAGACGCAGGTTCGCAGCTTGGGTGTGATCCTGGACTCATCACTGAGCCTGGAACCCCAGGTTTCGGCGGTGACCAGGGGAGCATTCGCACAGTTAAAACTCGTGCGCCAGCTGCGCCCGTACCTTGGGAAGTCTGACTTGGCCACGGTAGTCCACGCTCTGGTTACATCCCGCTTAGACTACTGCAATGCTCTCTATGTGGGGTTGCCCTTGAAGACTGCTCGGAAGCTTCAAATAGTCCAACGTTCGGCAGCCAGATTGCTAACAGGAGCGGCACTCAGGGAGCACACCACTCCTCTGCTGCGCCAGCTCCACTGGCTGCCAATCTGCTACCAGGCACAATTCAAGGTGCTGGCTTTAGCCTATAAAGCCCTAAACGGTTTTGGCCCTACTTACCTCTCCGAACGCATCTCCTCCTATGATCCGCAGGACATTAAGATCGTCTGGGGAGGCCCTGCTCTCGGTCCCGCCCGCATCGCAGGCGCGATTGGCGGGGACGAGAGACAGGGCCTTCTCGGTGGTGGCCCCTCGGCTGTGGAACGCCCTACCTGTGGACATCAGACAGGCCCCTTCATTGCTGGCATTCCGGAGGAAGGTCAAGACTTGGCTTTACGAACAAGCGTTTGGCTAAATAGTGCAACGAAATACAGTAAGATGGTACAACTGAACATAGGAATTGGTATAAGGATTACGACTACGGATTCTGATTCTGATTTGTTTACTGAGGCGCACGTTTATGATAATGATTGTTTTTGACTTGATATGTTTTGTATAATGTGCTTTTAATTGCCTTTTTGATGTTGTTGTGTTAATCTTTACTATGTAAACCGCCTTGAGTCGCCATTTCGGCTGAGAAAGGCGGTATAGAAGTAAAGCAAATAATAAATAAATAAATAAATAAATAAATAAATATAAATAAGATATGTGATATGTGCAGCTTTTTTTCAAATTATAATTATAATTTCAAATTATAGTGTCTAGATGTTCTTGTCTTTCTGGGACTCTCATGTGGATGTCCCACCATCCTTTTCTATAATTTCACATTTCTTCCCCATAAGAGGACGAAGGGAGATAGGAGTCCCTTAGGGAACCTTGTGTAGCCCAATTTGTATGTAAATCCCAAGCCAGGCCTCCCAAGAGGGTACCCATGCAACCGTAGCTCCTCGTGTATATATATGTATAATCTTATTTATGTTTTAGTTTATGCTGTTCTAAAGCCGTTGACTGTGTGGATCATAATACATTGTGGCAAGTTCTTGGTAGTATGGGGATACAAAGTCACCTTGTCTGCTCCTGAGGAATCTGTATAACGATCATGTAGCAACAGTAAGAGAACAACAGGCTGGTTCAAAATTGGGAAAGGTTTTGTATACTCTCACCCGACCTATTCAACTTGTATGCAGAACACATCATGCGATGTGCGGGGTTTGACGAATCCAAGGCTAGAATTAAAATAGCTGGAAGAAACATTAACAACCTTAGATATGCAGATGACACCACTTTGATGGCTGAAAGCAAGGAGGAGCTGAGGAACCTTCTAACCAAGGTGAAAGAAGAAAGTGCAAAAGCTGGGTTGCAGTTAAACATAAAAAAAAACAAGATTGTGCAACCGGATTGATTGGTAACTGGCAAGTAGAGGGAGAAAACGTGGAGGCAGTGACAGTCTTTGTATTTCTAGGCCCAAAAATTACTGCAGATGCAGACTGCAGCCAGGAAATCAGAAGACGTTCACTTCTTGGGAGGAGAGCAATGACCAGTCTCAATAAAATAGTGAAGAGTAGAGACATTACACTAGCAACGAAGATCCACATAGTCAAAGCAATAGTATTCCCTGTAACCTATGGATGCGAGAGCTGGACCATAAGGAAGGCTGAGGGAAGGAAGATAGACGCTTTTGAGCTGTGATGCTGGAGGAAAATTCTGTGAGTGCCTTGGACTGCAAGAAGATCCAACCAGTCCATACTTCAGGAAATAAAGCCCTGCTGCTCAACTGGAGGGAATGATTTTAGAGGCAAAGATGAAGTCCTTTGGCTACATAATGAGAAGGCAGGAAAGCCTGGAGAAGATAATGATGCTGGGGAAAATTGAAGGAAAAAGGAAGAGGGGCTGACCAAGGGCAAGATGGATGGATGGTATTCTTGAAGTGATTGGCTTGACTCTGAAGGAGCTGGGGGTGGCCACGGCCGACAGGGAGCTCTCGCGTGAGCTGGTCCATAAGGCCATGAAGAGTCGGAAGCAACTGAATGAATAAACAAAAACATACTTTTGTATCACTTTATAAAATTGATTTGAGAAGTTGCCAACCCAGCCTTGCGATGACCTTTGCCTGCAT